ATGGCCCACGGAAGAGCTGGCCCCACCCCTCCTCATTCCATGCGGGAGAGGTGGCCCTGATCCTCTTCTGAGTTGAGTGGTTCAAGAAGAGGCCCAGACTGACTAACTCAGCTACCACATCCAGGGCTTTGAGTTGGCCCATCCCAACATCTACCTCATTTATGACCTGCTGGAGAGCATGAAGGGACTGGTCCTGAGGAACTATGGCCACAGGAGCTCCATAACTTGGGCAACAGATGGGTATCCCAGAGACATTTCAGTGAGGGTCCAGTATTGATGGTGTACCAGAAGCCCAGAGAGGCCTTGGACCAGCCCAACAACTCATTGCAATGAACATTTCTAAGTAAAGCTGTTTGGGCAAAAGGGTGTACTACGTGACACACCAAAGCTACCAAGGCCACCGCAACAAATGAGTATGGGATGGAGAGGCAGGAAGACGGAGGAATGGAAGGGGTTTTATTCTGTTTGTTTTTTCCTTTTTAAAATTATTTTTCTGTTTTTAAATTTTCTTTTGTGGGGAAGGGGCTACAAGGGTGGAGTGTGGACATGGAAGGACTGGGAAATGAGTGGGGTTGGGTGCGTGATGTAAAACTCCCAAAGAACTGATAAAAAAAAGTATATCAATAAAAAACTAATGACAGTCAGGTGGTAGTGGTGCACTTCTTTAATCCCAGCACTCAGAAGGCAGAGGCAGTTGGATCTCCGTGAATTCGAAGCTAGTCTGGTCTACAGAGCAAGTTCCAGGCCAGCCAGGACTACACAGGGAAATCCTATCTCAAAAATAAAGAAAGAAAGAAAGAAAGGAAGAAAGAAAGAGAAAGAAAGAAAGAAAGAGAAAGAAAGAAAGAAAGAAAGAAAGACCGGTGCCATTTACCAAGCCTGCTGGCCTGAGTTTGACTCCCAGGTCTTATATGGTGGAAAGAGATTGGTTCTGAACTCCATAGGTGCTCAGCGGCACATATCCCTCTACACACAAATAAGTAAATAAAATAAAAACTCATAACAATAACAACAACAATGCATCCATATTCAAAGCTACTTTATTCACAATGAATAAAACAAACAACATAAGACAAACAACTGGAGCCAGCCAGATGGCTCAATCAGACGAAAACTCGTGCCTTTCAATAAAGCAAGTCTGACATAAGTTTGAGCTCCAGAGTCCATGTAAAAGTGAAAGCAGAAACCTGAGTCCACGGTTATCTTTTGACCTCCACATGCCCACATGTGTGTGGCACGCTATGCTCCTCCCCCATCACATGCATACAATCAATAAATAAAACTTGGATACAACCTAGATGTCCAGTAACAGAACAGATAAATTGTGGCATTTTTGTTTGTTTTGCTTTGTTTTTCGAAACAAGGTTTCTCTATGTAACAGCCCTGGCTGTCCTGGAACTGGCTCTGTAGACCAGACCGTCCTTGAACTCACAGAGATCTGCCTGCCTCTGCCTTCTCAGTTCGGAGATTAAAGGCGTGTGCCACCATGCCCTGAAAATTATGGTATATTTATTTGGTATCTACCATGTTATCTACCAAATCATAATCAATGGAGACAGAACTCAGATTGCTGAGAGCCCTGGGTGAGTTTGCTAAATACTGAAAATACTCTATATGTGTGTGTGTGTGTGTTGTTGTTTTTCTGATGACTTAGCAGCTGCAATGGAATATACTTATATTTTAACTACTGTCTGTGTTCCTCAGTCCTGCAGCTACCACCCTACTGTTCAGACTGCAGCCTGGCAGGATTTTGGAGGCCAACAAATGTAGGTTTTAACCAAGTCTCTATCATTCTATTTACCAATAAAGGATAGGAGTCAGATGCTGGGGTGGAAACCTGCTAGATCAGAGAAGCAGAGAAGCTACTATCTGACCTTCCTTTTTGGCTGGAGACCCAGCAAGAAATGTGTCTCTTAATTTATCCCAAAAGGATTAAACAAATGTTTTAATCTCTCAGTCCCTCCCTACTCCTTCCTGTTAGTCTCTCTATTCATATTCCTAGCTCCTCTGTCCTTTCTATGGCTAATTTCTGTCAGCTAGTCACTGGTTCTGTCCTCCACCCAAGGTTAATTGTATTAACAGGCTGGGCATTGGTGGTGCACACCTTTAATCCCAGCACTTGGGAGGCAAAGGCAGGTGGATCTTTGTGAGTTGAGGCCAGCCTGGTCTACAGAGCTAATTCCAGGACAGGCTCCAAAGCAATACAGAGAAACCCTGTCTGGAATCCCCCCCCACACACACACACGCCAAATTTTTCTTATTAACAGTCTCGGATCAACTATCCCACAATATATCTTTAGATACCACCCGTAACTTCAGGTTCAAGGGACCCAACACCTTCTTCTGACAATATACACTCACTCCTACAGATAGATACCCATACACATAAAAAAAAAATAAATCTTTATTTCTTAAAGTTACTTTTCTTTGTGTAACAATTCAACCACTACATTTTGCTAAAAGTATTCAAGGAACTCCAGGGTGTCCAAAGAGTCTGTGTTTAGAATGGGCAGCCCAAAGAAAGGCTGCAGCCAAGTTGGCTGGGTAGCTAGCACTATGCTTTGCTGCTAGCCTCGGCTGGGGTTATGGAATGTCAAGGTTCTGCTTCAAGGCAAATGACAGGAAGCGGGAAAGAGCAAGGAGACAAACAGAGAAAGGAGAAAAGAATAAGGGCCAAGGGCAGATTCTTTCACTACGTGGCCTGTAGCCCAAACAGTGGACTCCTGACCTCACCAGAAAAAAAAAAAAAAAAAAAAAAAAAGCCAAATGGTTTCCAAGTGGGAATGGTGACAGCCTCAATTTTTGCTGCCCAAGGAATCAATAATACTAATAATCCTATGATTCATGTTCGTCCGGTTTTATTCCAAATCACTTTACCGAAAAGCCCCTTGGCCCAGCCAAGAAGCCAGAATACCTGATCCATGTAACTTTTAGACTTTATTGGGGTGTTTCTCTGGTTTTAGTTGTGGGTACTGCCATATATGGACAAATATATAATTTTACTCATTTACATCATCTCACTTAACCCTGCAATCCCTGATGAGAAACCAGATTCTTATTCTAAGTATGCATATAGAGATGGAAATGGGATCTTGTTAGGACAGAATTAACACAATGTTAAGGCAGGGTGGGCCAGGCGATGGTGGCACAGGCCTTTAATCCCAGCACTCGGGAGGCAGAGGCAGAAGGATGTGTAAGTTTGAGGCCAGTCTGGTGTAGTGTTCCAGGACAGCAAGGGCCACACACACACACATACACACACACAATCAAACACAAAGCAAAAGGTAGGGTGGAAAAAGGAAATGGCTAACTCTGGTTGGCCTTCTTCTCCTTATACAAACCAGGCTGGCCTTAAACTCAAGTGACACACCTAAGTCTCTCAAATGTTGAGACTAAAAGCATGGGCCATCAAGGCTGACACCTGGGCCCTTTAATCCTAAACCTTTTATTCTACCCTTGTCAAAACAGACAAGTACATTCCATGCTCTGCTTTTTTTTTTTTTTTTTTTTTTTAATGTGGAAGGAGTTGTTTGATTCCATATAAAAAGGCTAGTGCATATTCGAGAGGCAGATCTAGGGTGGTGGGGCTCTAACGTACAAGTTGGGAGGAAGACTCTTTTTATTAAAAAATAAAATATTAAATAATTTGAGAACAGACCATGGTAGGGCTTCCAAGCAGGGAGCCTTGAAGCCTAAACTTCACTAATTATCATGATCAGTTTCCCTCTCATACATGCTGTGCCTTACGCAGGACACATCAGATCTCGGTTGATGCAACGTGGCAGAAGTGGGAAGTGTAAGTCCTGGGAAAGGATTCTCATTCTCCCCAGGAGACAAGAGGAATTACACTAGCAGCGAAACTGTGAGGAAGAGGAAGGCAGTGTGCCAAGGAATAGTCCAAAGAGACAGTGCGACCCAGCTGGCTGAGATGTGAGCAACAGCAATGTTATTGTGGCAGCCGAGGAGCCAGGAGCAATGGCGTTGCCGGGGAAGCGATGGCACAAACCATGTGTGGGCTGGCCTTCACATTGCGTTCTCCATCCCTGCCTCTAATCCTGATATCCCTTCTGCTGAGCAGCGAAGGAGGCAAAGCCCACTGCAGCCGATGGCAGCGGGAGACCAGAAAGTACACGCCCAGGCCTTCCCTCTTCAGACTTGCTGGAAGGTGGAATTCGAGGGGTTCCAACGGTGGTGGACGGGCTGCAGCTCCTGCCTTAGGACTGGGGTGCCGGGCTCTCCTCCCGGCTCCCCACTGCCGCCGGGGTGGGGGGCAGCGCCTGCAGCCTGCTTTCTCAGGGCTGGCCGAGCCTTTTTGACAAGCTGATTGCGAGAAGGGGATTGGCTGATCCAGACGTGACGCCGGTAACAACAAAGGTGGAGTTGGAAGAAATTAGATTAAAGGAGAGAAGGAAAAAAAAAAAAAAAATTAAAGGGGAGCTAGCAGGCGACTGGAGGCAGACACTAAGGGGAGACGCACGAAGCTCCGTTCGGTTTTGGCTTCCCCCTTTCGAGCTCCTTCGCACAAACGCACCGGGATTTTGCTCTAATCCCCCACCCCGGCCGCGGCCTAGTTACGGAAGCCGGGGTAGACGGGATTGGCCGCTCCGCAGCGTCTTGAAAAATCTCCCCAACTCCACTGCGACCCAGGGGAGAACTTTTCGCTCTAACTCCTCGGATCTTAAGGCCACTGAAGATGGGGGTCATCAAGAACAACGAAAGCCTCGCTCTGAAACCCGGAAGGCCCTCGCGGGGCATCGAGACCAAACGAGGCAGGGTGCTTCCCCGGTATTTCTGTGTTGCAAACCTAGGAGGAGCGTCTGTTTTTTTTATTTTTCTAATTTTTTTAAAATTCATTTTTGTAACACACCGTTCTACCCCACCCCGCTTTAGCTTCAGGGTTGCAAAAGCAGAGCAATAAAAAAAAAAAAAAAAAAACCAAAAAAAAAAAAAAAAAGAAAACCTGCGCACACACTCAGACACACACCAGTGGCGACAGGGGAGAGTTGGAAAAACGCAGGAGAGGAGGAGGCAGGAGACAGCGGGAATGGAGCAATGGGAGCGAGAGCAGGCAGGATCCCTCAGATTCCCCTCCAGCTTCAAGCTGCCTCGCCCGCCCCGGTAGGGGAGCGAGGAGTCGGGCGAGCAGATGGAGCGGAGCTCGCTCTAGGCAGCTGGCTTGGCCGGAGACTGGAGGAGCCGCCAAGCGACCGGCTGATTGGAAGAGAAACGCAGAGCGATGGAGGCGGGGGTAGGAGGACGATTTCTCTGCGGGGACTGTCGGCGGCGTACACGCCCGGGTCGGGCGCTGCAGAGCTTGGCTAGCTTTCAACCCGCGCTCGGCGGCTCCAACCCCGCGCACCCCCGCCCCCAGCCCTGCCGGCGGCCCCGCAGGTGAGTGCGAGCAGAAAGCAAGAGAAAAAAAAAAAAAAAAAAGCCAAACGTCGAAAAACGACTGCCTTGAAAAAAAAATTAGAAAAAAAATTTTTTTTCTTATTCCTTTTTTAAAATTTTTCGTGCAGCCCCCAGAGCGGTGGGAGGGAAGGGGTGAGGCTGAGCCGTCCGGAGGAGGCGGAGGGGCCAGGCGAGGCCGGCCCGGGAGGCGGCGGCGGCGCCAAGGCGGCTCTGACGGGCGAGCGCTCGAAGCGGCGCTGCGCTGCGCCGAGGCGGGCGGGCGGGCGGAGCGGGGCGGGCGGAGCGCGGCGCGTGGGGCTCGCCATTAGCCGTCGCTCCGCTTCGCCATCTCGGGCTTTGTCTGGAGACTCGCTGGCCCGGCGTCGGCAGCTGCGGAGCTGCGACTCCGCTCTTCCGCCCGCCGGAGTGCCAGGTTCCCCTGGCCCTCACTAGCACCTACACGCTCGGTAAGTGGGTCTCCGTGCGGCGGATTTCGGGGGAAAGGGGTTGCTCCCCGGCGGCGCCGATCTCCGGGCTCCACGCGCCCAGGGCAGGCCTATGGAGCCACGCCGGGCTGGATTGAACCGGCTCCCTTCCTATGCCGGGGCCAGCCACTCCAGGTCGTTTCCCGGGTGTAAGGAACAAGGTGGATTTGGGGGCTTTTTGTTTGGTTTTAGAGGGCTGGTAGTATGGTTTTTTTTTTTTTTTTTAAGTTTTCTGAGTGCCGTTCGGCGATAAGGGGGATCGCGAGGTAGGCGCCGAAACCTGGCACCGCGATCGGGGAGCCTGAGCCCGAAGCCGGTGGCCACGCTCCGGGGACCAGGGTGGGCGACTGCCCGCTCCCCGAGGCGGGAGAGGGAAGCAGATTAGAGCTGCTCCGGAAGACGAGCCTAAGCTAGGAGAACCTGGAAGAGAGCTCCAGAGCAGGGCTGCCGGCACCCGCGAGGCTCGCCGGCCACCCCTCTGGGCACCCTCTCCACCGCCGCACCTCGGCCCTCCCTCCCGCGCCGGCCAAGCCTGCTAGTTCCCCCGCGGGGCTGGCGAGGTCGCTCTCGCCGCCTGCTTGCCTCCCCGCCTCGGCTCGCAGCCCCGCCGCCATCCGGGCGGCTGCGTGTCTCCCTACCCCGGCCCCCCCCTTCCCCGGCGGCAGCAACAGCAGCAGCCGCCGCCGCCACTACCACCAACCCCCCTCCCCTCCTTCCTTGCCTCCGCCTCGGCCGCCCGGGTCCCCCCAGCGCCCGCCCCTCCTCCCAGCTGCCCCCCGCGGAGCCCGCCCGGGCAGGCTGTGGGAGGGAGCGGAGCCGGCGAGGCGGGCGGGCTGGCGCTCGCTCCCCGGGGGTCGGTGTGCGCTCTACGGGGAAGGACGCGCTCGCTGCCCCGCTTCTCCCGCCCCCCCTCCCGCTCCTCCTCCTCCCTTCTCCCTCCTCCTCCCCGCTCCGGCGGCGGAGGCTGCTGCGGCGGCGGGGGGTGTGCGAGCTGAGGCCGGGGCCGGCGGGCGGGCGGCGGGCGGGCTGCCTGCAGGCGGAGGGCGCTGTGCTTTGTGCTTTTCGCCGCGAGGAGCAGCAGGCAGCAGCCACAGCCGCCGCCGCCGCGCCACAGCAGCAGCAGCAGCCGCCGCCCCAGCGCCGCCGCGCCCGGAGGAGGAGCCGCTGCCGCCGCGGGAGGGAGTTGCGGCTGTGCCCGGCCGAGCGGGGGAGGGCGCCGCGCTCAGAGCCGGGAAGGGAGCCGCCGGAGCGGGGAGCTCAGAGGCCGCGCTGCGCCGGGTAACCGAGGCGGCGGGACGTGCGCCGGGGCCAGGGCTAGGGAGCGAGCCGCGGACGCCGGGCGGCGATACCGGGGAGGACTGGAGACGAGCTGACCGGGACACGGGGAAGGGCGCCGAGAACCGGGGGTGGGAAGGGCAGGAAGCGAGGCCCCAGGTGGAGGAGCCCGCGCTTCTCCGGCCGGCAGGCGCAGTTCTCGCTGGCCGCCGGAGGGGGCGGCGGGGCCGGTGAGCGCAGCACCCCCGCCTCGCGGCCGCCGTCCTCCCGCCCTCTGCTTGGCTCGGCTCCCCGGAGGCCGGGGCGGGGGCGCCGGCAGGGCTGGGCCGCAGGCTCGGGGAGGAGGCGGTAGTTCCCGCCGCGGTCGCGCCTCTGCGCCGGGCATCTTCCGTGCGCGTCGGGGTAGCTGGGCGGTGGCGGCGTCTCTGGCCCCGGTGGGTGGCTCGGGGGCGGGGGACACGCTAGGCCGCTTCTCTCCGGCTGCTCGCCTAGCCGGACGGGCAGCGACCGCGTTGGGAGGTTGGAAGGGGGGAGCAGCGGGAATCCGGATCTGGTCCCCGGGGGCGGTGCGGCCGCTACGCTCCCGGGCTGGCGGCGGCTGCGCTGCGTCCGGGTCCCCGCCGGGTTGCGGAGGCGGGGGGAACGGGCCGGGGGGGAAGCGGGAGGAGGAGACTGGGGCGCGTGCCCGCTTCCGTGCCCGCGCGCGCCCTTTACCCGCCCTTCCTCCCCCTCCCTCCAGCCTAGGGCCTCCCCGGGGCGGGCGCTCAACGAGGAGGAGGAAGGGAAAAAAAAATTTTTTTTTTTTGGCCCGGGTGGGGGAAGGAGGCCGGAGGGCGGGCGCTAGCTGCACGCGGGAGCTGGGAGCAGTCTCTCGCGTGGGCAGGGGAGGGCGCATGCGGCGCAGCTGGGCTGCAGGGGCAGGGATAGGGAAGAGAGGGGCTCACTCCTACACCCACCGATGAATTCTGTGAGCCTCCTGCTTGGGTCTCCCTGAAAGTGTGGACCTATGCCCCCTCCCCTGTGGGAGGGGGTGGGATAGAAAGTCCCTCTCCTCTCAGCCTACCTGAGTGGATCTGGTGTCTTTTCGAAAGGGTGAGGTGGCTTTGACCCCGGGTTGCCCGGCCAGCGCGACCGAGGAGGTGGCTGGACAGCTGGAGAATGAACGGAGAAGCGGACTGTCCCACAGACCTGGAAATGGCCGCTCCCAAAGGCCAAGGTAGGGGCCCCCAGCTCTGTCCCCTTTAAACTTGTCTATTCTTACACATGAACTCAAGCAGCTTCTAAAAGTTTCCTCCAGGCTTCGATCTGTGAACTGGGAGATGGTCTTAAGTTTATAAAGTCAAGCATCTGAAATTCTGTCTTTGACTAAATCCAAATTACGTAGCCTTGAGTTTGTATGTTGTGTTTTTTATGTTCCCCTCCTGCTGTGATGGAGAGGCAGGGAAGTGGAGAGAAGAGTTTTGTCAGGGACAGGTAGGAAGAGAGAGAGAGGTAGTTTGGTTTAGGGTCCAAGCCATAGGAACTTTAGTTGGCAAGGTCCCAGCAGCCTCTGCGGGTGTAATGTCTGTGAAGTAGAGGGTCTGGATCTGAGCATCTGGCAATGCTTGTAAGACCTTAGGGGAGAGGATCATGGGTCCATGTGACCCTCTCTGCTGAAACTCTGACCCGGGTTACTGGATGCAAATGAAAGTCAAGAGCGCCTTTTCATCCTGGTTGTGGATTCCCCCAGCTCAGCTTCCAGGGGCAGCCACTCTCCAGAGAGGCTCTGTGCTGTCTTTTTAGGGTGCACTTTAGCAGATGAAAGCCACTGGCCCAAGATGCCTTTTTGCCTTCTTGGGGAGTCGGGCTGTGATGGCAACTTGGAATTCTGGGTTCTCCAGAGAGTAAGACCCTGAGACCTCTCTACCTGCCTGCATGCCTTTTTTCAGAGATGTTGTGTGTGGTTCTGATGTTTGAGTTCCATCTTTCTTAATTGCCAGAAATTCTCCTTTGGTCTTCCTTAAAGTGACTGGAGGAGGCAGGTGATAGACTGTATTATGTCTTTAATGTTGGTCTCCCGCCGTGATGGAGAGATGTTCATGGGGTACCTACTACACACACTCCAGCTCAGGCCTTGCATGCTTGTGGTATAGATGTGTTACTGTCTGCTTTTTTCTCTCGGCCCCCAAATCACTATAGCTTCACTCCATCTCATAATAAAAAGAGGCCCATAAGAGCCTAGCATGTTAGACATGATAGCTTTGGAGTAAGCCAGACATGACATCCAGAATAGCTTACTATGGTGGTATCTAGTCCAGGGCCCCTGTTTTTAGGGCCGAGCCAGGTCTAAGGAAAGATGCAGTAATGCAGATGAAAAGCGACCAGGGGCTTTAGGAGGAGGGTTTGAACTCAAAAAGACTGGGGAATGATCAAGAGAATGGCATAAGCCATGTGCAATGACTTCTCTTGTACCTCACCAGACCGCTGGTCCCAGGAAGATATGCTAACTTTGCTGGAATGCATGAAGAACAACCTTCCATCCAATGACAGCTCCAAGTTCAAAACCACAGAGTCGCATATGGACTGGGAAAAAGTTGCATTTAAGGATTTTTCAGGAGATATGTGCAAGCTCAAATGGGTGGAGATTTCTAACGAGGTAACTGATTACTTTTTGGCACATAAATACACTTCTATATATGTCTTTTTTTTTTTTTAATATCAGAGAAAACTGGGAAAGTAAAGCAAACCTGTCATATTGGGTAGCGTTTACATGTTTGTCAGCTCTGATTTATGCCTTATGGGACAAAGTGGCCTGAGCAATAGCAACATCCTAGGGTTCACAGTTCTACTGCAATCTTTCTATGTGGCCTTGGATACTTAATTGCCGCAGGCTTCTATGGCCCAAACCAGACTAAGGGATGGAATGAGGCACAGGTGTGGGAGCTACAGTGAGGTCAGTCCGTCTTGTTGTGACACTTAGGTCTGTGTGCTAACTGCTTGGACCTCTGCAGTAGGCATGAGGTAGTTAGTGCCTCTGGGTCAGGGGTGGCTGTTGGTTTGTCTCCTTCAGTGAACTAGGTCTGGTGAGGAGTAGCAATAATACATTGGGAAAGAACTATGGAATGGCATTTCCCAGATTCTTTCTCCCCACTTCCCTCTTCCTTCAGGTGAGGAAGTTTCGTACGTTAACAGAATTGATTCTTGATGCTCAGGAACATGTTAAAAATCCTTACAAAGGCAAAAAACTCAAGGTAAGCTACCAACCAGGAGGAGAAGCCGAGGTGTCAGGGCTTCAAAGGATGGATAGTATCTAATGTCAGTTTTCTTTGTTCCAGAAACACCCAGATTTCCCAAAGAAGCCTCTCACCCCTTATTTCCGCTTCTTCATGGAGAAGCGGGCCAAGTATGCGAAACTCCACCCTGAGATGAGCAACCTGGACCTAACCAAGATTCTGTCTAAGAAGTACAAGGAGCTTCCAGAGAAGAAGAAGGTGGGGGAGGGGGGCTCAGATGGGGGGCAGCCGGTGTGGGTAGGTCAGTGGGGTGGGGGTAGGCTGTAGACAAAGGGACTCCACACCAGGGGTGTGGGTGGGTAATGCAGTGGAGTGGAGTGTATATGGAGGTGCCCCTGGTTAATTATCCTTTCCCAGGCCCACAAAAGGTCAGACAGGCCCCCTTGTAGGGGAAGACCCAGAAGGCATTCAGATTGGTCTTGTTACCCCCACAGCCCTTGAAATTGGATTTTAAACAGTCACACTCAAGCATCCTCCCTGGCAATCTATACAGCATTTCTCTATCTACTGTGATACTTGAGCATACAAGAGACCACAAGAAAGGGGATTGGTTGATTTTGCTGAATGATGTTAGGGCATCCTTCAGTTTGGGCTCCTCTGACTCCCTCCAGTGTGCTCCTTCCTGTCATATTCACATAAGTGAGCTTGCCTCCCCATGTACAAGGGCATGAGTCTTTCTTCCTTACCTCAGGCTGTTCCCTACAGAAATGGACCTCTGATGAGCTTACCAGAGATAATTCACTTTAGAGGGTAGAAGTTGTCCAGACCTCCTGAGTAGAGCTGGATAAAACCAAAGACAGCTCAGGTTCCCTGGAAGCCAGAAAGCAAAACATCAAAGGGAGTTCACACACACACACACACACACACACACACACACACACACACACACCCCTGAATGAGGAGTGAAGGAACATAAAGAAGAAGATGGGTGATGAGACGAGGAGATGCCTCAGTGAGAGGGAGCAAGGTGTAAAAAATGCACATTGGCAGACAAAAGTCAGAAAGTTGTATATATCAAGCCTCCCAAATGGCACCAGCCAGCATATTGAGTAGCTGCTTTTCTGCACACTGTGCCTGAGTGCTCATATACCCTTATTGCTAAATCCAAAATGGAATAGGCTTGGTTGGATAGAAGCTGTGGCACATACCCTCATAAGGAGTAGCAAGACTTGCCAGAGGTCATTTAACCCCATGGGTGAAAACTTGGGACAGAGACTACACATACCACCAAACCTCCAAAGGATGGGAAGATAAACTGCAGAGAACATTAGTATGGGCATACCAGTTTGGGCCTGTCCTACTGTGTCTTGCCAATCAGCTGTGTAGGGGTCTTCAGGTAAGTCACGTCACTACTCTGCTCCTGATTTGGGGCATAGAGTGTGAGCTAGAACCTTCATTTGCCTTTTAAGTCCAAAAACTTGTCTGAGGAGGACTGAGATTGCCCCAAGAAGGCTACGCTGTTCTTGGGTTTTCTTGGGAAGCATGGGGAAAATGAGCTGCCTCCTTACACCTGGTGCCTCTTACAAGGAGGGGTCTGGTTGGTTGTGAGCCTCTAGTCCCTTCCAGTGCTAGTGTGACCCTCTAGAATAGAGGGAGGAAGGGAATGTCTGTTATGTGGGAGCCAGGATGCAAGATGCCAGAGGAAAGTTGGAAAAGTTGGGTTCTGAGGGATCCTGGGGCTCCAGGACCCTAGAGGAAGGGGTCAGAAGCAGGAGCTGGGTTGGTTACCAGGAATATGAGTAGTACTGGAGACCCAGAACTGATGGACAGGGAAGAAACTCCAAATTCAGGACATCGGGGTGTGATTTGCATTGCAAGAATTCATTTTGTGTCCCTTCAACACTATCCTCTCCTACCTTAGAAGTAGAATTTGGCCTCCATGGTGCTGTCAGCCACCTTGGAGGGGATAGACCAACATCAGCTGCCATAGGGTGGGAAGAGGAAAACAGTGTGGCAAGACTCAGGAGTGCTCTGTGCTATTGGAGGAGGGGTGGGTAGTTCTAGCCTGCTACTGTTCCCACACTGAGTGACACCATGTCCCCTGGCTTCTGCTCTATTTTGACTTAAGAGAATTGGATGGTGATTGGGTGTCTGAAAGACCCCTGTAAATCCAGGCCTAGTATGAGTTCACCTCACAGAGAAGAGAGCAAGGCAGTTAGCAGGGTGGCTTTTCTAGCTCTGGGTGAAATAGCCTTGGGTCCTGGATGACCCCATCCCCTCCTCCCCTCAGATGAAATATATTCAGGACTTCCAGAGGGAGAAACAGGAGTTCGAGCGAAACCTGGCCCGATTCAGGTAAGGCAGAGGAGGGCCATGGGGCACTGGGTGTGGTAGGATAAATTGATACTGGCTGGAGACTAAATCTGACTATCCATGAAACATGGAAGTCTTGTGTAGACTGTTAGTGTCAGGTTCAGAGGCAGAGACAGGCTGCTGGCTACTAAGTTCCAGCAGGAAGCCTAGAAAGAAGGCTTGGGTTGGACAGCTAGCTGGGGTCTGCCTTAGCAAGTGCCCCTGCTGACCCCTGCTCGGTCCCCTGGCTAGGGAGGATCACCCTGACCTTATCCAGAATGCCAAGAAGTCGGACATCCCTGAGAAGCCCAAAACTCCCCAGCAACTGTGGTACACCCATGAGAAGAAGGTGTATCTCAAAGTGCGGCCGGATGTGAGTGTCTGGCCAAAGGGTAGGGGTGGAGGGCACACGGCGGTGGCAAGGGGGGAGCCGCGCCAGGTGGCTGGGTATGGTGCAGGGGAGCAGGAGAGGAGGCCCCTCCCCAGCAGGGGGGTTGCATGGACAGGGCCTGGGCCAGCTGGCGTACGAATGAGTGTGTGTGTGAGCCTGTCCCTTGCACCAAGGCGGATCCCTGCCTCTCCACCTTACCCTCCTGGCCTGTGGTGGACACTTTTGTGACCTCCTGTGGCCCGAGGGGGCGGGGCCTCTGTGCCCCTCACCCCCCTCCCCTGCCCCTGGCTGCCTGTGTGTGTCTGACGGCTTTTGGTTTGCAGGCCACTACGAAGGAGGTGAAGGACTCCCTGGGGAAGCAGTGGTCTCAGCTCTCGGACAAAAAGAGGCTGAAATGGATTCATAAGGCCCTGGAGCAGCGGAAGGAGTACGAGGTTAGGCTTCCGCTGCGCTCCTCCCCATCCGGCTCTTCACGAGCCTGTGCCCTCTGACTTGTGTCACCGCATTCTGCAGGTGGCAGTCATTCCCTGGCCCTCTATTGAGGGAGGGGCCCTTTGGGGCCCCTCGCCTCTGCCCCTACCATCTCACGACCCCCGCCCCATGGAGAGATCTCAGGCTAGGGCAGAGCAGGACACCATACTACAGATGACACAGCAGACACACAGACATACATGGCCATCCCCAGCTTTGCTCCCTGCTTCCCTTCCCTAGCGGCTCTCCCCCTTATGGTGTCCCAGCTAACCCCACGCCCCGTTACCCTCCACTCCCCCACCTCTCACTCTGCAGGAGATTATGCGTGATTACATCCAGAAACACCCCGAACTAAACATCAGCGAGGAAGGCATCACCAAATCTACCCTCACCAAGGCTGAACGCCAGCTCAAGGACAAGTTTGATGGGCGACCCACCAAGCCACCTCCGTGAGCGCTGCCCTGGGTGGGTGGGCGGGCAAGTGGGCAGCCAGAGAGTTGGCCTTTGAAGAACTTTGAACCTGGGTTGGGCAGCTAGGAAGCCTGTTGCCCATTTGCTCATGGGCATGTCTTCTTTTGGATTCAATAGGAACAGCTACTCATTATACTGTGCAGAGCTCATGGCCAACATGAAGGATGTGCCCAGCACAGAGCGCATGGTGCTATGCAGCCAGCAGTGGAAACTGCTTTCCCAGAAGGAAAAGGACGCCTATCACAAGAAATGTGACCAGGTACCGCCCTGATCTTTGGGTCCTGTCTTGGGGTTTGTTTCAAGCATGAGGTTTGCCCCAGCCAGGCTGTTATGCATTGATTACATGTGCCTTGGCCATCGCTTCCAACTTGCCAGAGTATACTGTCTGCATCTATAAAAGCAGACAGCTCAGGCCTTTTTGTCTACCATCTTTAGGGAGAGAGAAGGTTATACCCAGTCCCTAGGGGCCTACTGAGGTAACTACCCCAGAGTAATGGAGGCAGTCCCCAACTGACTGAGTTCCCTTACTTTCCTAGAAAAAGAAAGATTATGAGGTGGAATTGCTGCGGTTCCTCGAGGTGAGTAGCATGGTGGACAGGGCAAGTTTGGCAGGCAGTCTCGAGTCTGATGAGCCTGCCTGCTGCAGCCCATGCCCCTCTCCTCCCTGCTCAGAGCTTGCCGGAGGAGGAGCAGCAGCGGGTCATGGGGGAGGAAAAGATGCTGAACATCAATAAGAAGCAGACCACCAGTCCAGCCTCCAAGAAGCCTTCTCAGGAAGGCGGCAAGGTATGTGCCACAGGACAACCACATACGGTGGAGCCGCCCACGCGATGCTAATGGTAACTGTACCTCTGACCCTCTCCGTCCCTCGTAGGGCGGCTCTGAAAAGCCCAAGCGGCCTGTGTCTGCCATGTTCATCTTCTCAGAGGAGAAGCGAAGGCAGCTGCAGGAGGAGCGGCCTGAGCTCTCAGAGAGCGAGCTGACCCGCCTGCTGGCCCGCATGTGGAACGACTTGTCCGAGAAGAAGAAGGTCAGGCCTTAGAGTCTGACATTAATCTCCCCTAAGGGCCGCGTGGGCCACTTCCGCGGGCAGTTAAGGCGCCTAGTGTGGATCACGCATGTGCCCGCGCGAGCTGTTAGGCGGGAAGCTGTCGGCCGGTGCTGTCTCCCTTGGAGAGCAGCCCCATGGGTGGGGCGGAGTCTGCGCAGCATCAGCGCTGTCTGTGGCCTCTGCCAGCCCCGCCCTCGCCCTTGCCGGCCCCGCCCTCTAGGCAGGAGTCTGCTATAGCTGCTTAATTGGCTTGGCGCGCCCCCTAGGGGTGGTTTGCATGCTGACTCCATTTGCCTTTCCTGTAGGCTAAATACAAGGCCAGGGAGGCTGCTCTGAAGGCACAGTCTGAAAGGAAGCCAGGCGGGGAGCGTGAAGAGCGAGGCAAGCTGCCTGAGTCGCCCAAGAGAGCTGAGGAAATATGGCAGCAGAGTGTCATTGGAGACTATCTGGCCCGCTTCAAGGTAGCACGGAGTAGGAAAGGATTGGTTTGTAGCCTCCAGCAACAACGGAACCCTTCCTGTGGCTGATACCCTTCGTTTGTACCTTAGAATGACCGGGTGAAAGCCTTGAAAGCCATGGAGATGACTTGGAACAACATGGAGAAGAAGGAGAAGCTGATGTGGATTAAGAAGGCAGCAGAAGACCAAAAACGATATGAGGTAAGGGGTTGAGCCATTTGCCTCCATGTAAATAAGTGGGCTCTGGGCCAGAAGTCCCAGCTTTGGTTGGGATCTTGGGCCAGTCTCAACCTTCAGCCTGTCAAAGGCTAGGTGAGGGCCAAGATACTAGCCTCCTAGAGGATGTAAATTCAATTTAGAGAGCATTTTGAAATGGCCTCTTTGGTGTGCTAACTTGGCAAGTAGTTGCAAAGGCTTGGTGACAGTGGGGTGGGACCTGCTGGGTGTGAATATGACTTCTCCCTGTCTCTCTGCAGAGAGAGTTAAGTGAGATGCGGGCCCCTCCAGCTGCTACGAACTCTTCCAAGAAGATGAAGTTTCAGGGGGAGCCCAAAAAACCTCCCATGTAAGCCTGAGGCTAGAGCCTATCCTGGTGTGTGAAGAGATGGGACAGGAAGGTGGCTTGCTGAGGACCCTGACCCGTACCTGTGTCCCCACCCTGCAGGAACGGTTACCAGAAGTTCTCCCAGGAGCTGCTGTCCAACGGGGAGTTGAATCACTTGCCACTGAAGGAACGCATGGTAGAGATTGGCAGCCGCTGGCAGCGCATCTCACAAAGCCAGAAGGAGCACTATAAGAAGCTGGCAGAGGAGCAACAGAAGCAGTACAAGGTGCACTTGGACCTCTGGGTCAAGGTGAGAGGGGGCAAAGGAGAGGGAGGCCTCATGCTAGATGGTCCTCACCCGTGGTTTCTGTGGGGCAATGGGCACTGGCACTTTTAAAGCTAAGGAAGCCAAGGCATTAAGTATTTGCCAAGGTTACATGGTAGAAAATCCTCCAAATCAGCTGTGTTTTCTCCCTTCCAGCCAGGACCAGTGGACTTATAAGCCCTGGCCAGGCTGTCAGTCTCTGTTTCTCCATTACTTTGAACAGTCAGATCTATACAGTGAGGAGAATTGCCTGCCACTCAGATAGGTTGACCAAAGACCCAGAGAGATGGTGGGAATTAATATCTAGAATTTTGTCACTCTCCATCATCTCATCAGTGGCTGGCTCAAAGACCAGGGTCCAGGGGAGGTTGGTCCCCTCATGAGTCATGGGGGAGGCTTTGGGGTTTAGGAGGTCCTGAGTGTGGAGCTATGATTTGAGGGAACTTGATAGGAAACTGGCTGCCAGTTCAGGGTGACTCAGAAAAAGGTGCTTGTGGCAGAACCAGGAGCCATGTTCTGAGCTCCTATGAGCTCTCTGCAAAGACCAAGATTTGGGGAGGCTAAGAGTAAAGATGGTATACAAGTGCTATGCCCAGAGAATGTTCACATATGTAGCCAGCAGTGGGATGGGGATGCCCTGACGCTCCGCTCTTCTCTCCAGAGCCTGTCTCCCCAGGACCGCGCAGCATACAAAGAATATATCTCCAATGTGAGTGAGAGCCGGGCATTGGAGCGGGGGGGGGGGGGGCGCCGGGCCCAAGGGACTCTGCAGGAGCTAGAACTCACTGCCGCCCCCTTCCTATTCCCATCCTTCCTGGTAGAAACGGAAGAACATGACTAAGCTTCGAGGCCCAAATCCTAAATCTAGCCGAACCACCCTGCAGTCTAAGTCGGTAAGGAGCCCCTCCAAGATGGGTGGGTGTCTGCAGGGCAGGGTCTAGTGAAGTGAATATCATCCAGCCACTGATGTGTCACTACACTTCCCAGGAGTCTGAGGACGACGATGATGAGGAAGATGAGGATGATGAGGAAGAGGAAGAGGAGGAAGATGATGAGAATGGGGACTCTTCCGAGGATGGCGGGGACTCTTCTGAGTCTAGCAGCGAAGATGAGAGCGAAGATGGGGATGAGGTGGGTAGACAGAGCATGCTGGAAGGGAGGGTGGTGGACCGGAAGGAGGGACCGACCCCCAGTGACCACAGATTCTTTATTCTCCTAGAATGAGGACGATGATGACGACGACGACGACGACGATGATGATGATGAGGATGAAGACAATGAGTCTGAGGGCAGCAGCTCCAGCTCCTCCTCTTCAGGGGACTCCTCAGACTCTGACTCCAACTGAGGCTCAGCCCCCAACCCTGGGCAGGCAGCCAAGGAGAGCCACTGCAGAGCTCCCTTCCCCAACTGACCACCTTTGCCTCTCCCTATGTTCTGTCCCCTCAGCCTCCCACTTTCTTTCTTTCTTCCTTTTTAAAAAAAAAAAAAAAAAAATTCAGTGGGGGTAAAAGGCTGCATGAGCCCAGGCTAGGACTCTGCAGTCGTGGAGCCATCAGCTCCGGGCTTCTCCAGGAACAGCAACCATCAGACTGAGCCAGCACTGGACCGGCCCACCCCACCCCTCTTCTGCACTTGCAGTTCCGGCATGGACAATGGACCAGGGGAGTTTGGGGGTGGGAGTGTGTCCTAAAGAGTTCGGTGAGGCCTCCACACCTGCAGCCTGCACCAAGGTGGATGTTCAGGGAGCCTTTCCTTCCCAGAGGGGCTTGCCGCCTGGACTCCCACAATGAACTGGAGGGAGAGAAGGGAGCTGCCTTCAAGAAAGGCAGTGCCCGTGCCCCTCTCCCCTGCCCCTGCAGGAAGGAGCTGCCTGGACCCATTCATGGGGGAGGGGCAGAGTGTTTTTTATATATGTATATATTTTTTTTTTAAGCTCTGAGCTGTCAACGAGACGTTTCCTACCGATCTCGGCTGCCGTCTCTGTTGTCATTTCTGGGAATGGGAGGGCCTGGATGGGGTAGGATGAGACTAAAATGGTCTTCATATGTATGCATTGAGTGTGTGTGACACTGTCTGTGTTTATCTGTGTGGGCTTGCTATAGTATGGATGTACCTGTGAATAGGGGTGTGTGTGTGTGTGTGTGTGTGTGTGTGTGTGTGTGAGAGAGAGAGAGAAGGGGTCTGTCCTAGAACCCACCTTGGTATTTGTGAATTTGGGAAAAGGGTTGGTAATGGCCTAGGAGATGGTTACTATGGCAGGAATGGGCCAAGGCTGCCCCTCGCTGCAATCTTCCGCTGTGGAAACCACCTGATGCTTCCTATACAGTTTGCCTCTGCCAAGGCCATGTATCTGAGCTGCTGCAGGTCTGTGCTGCCCAGCAGGAAAGTGGGGAGGGGCAGACAATAGTATGAACCTTAAAGTTCTCCTTCGGTGGAAAGGTTCTCCCCACTCATCTGGGGGTGTTCCCTGGGCTCCAGGAAGTGTCCTGAGATCTTTGTACCTGCATGTCTCTCCTGCCTTCCCTCGTGTCCTCTGGCCACCCCCAATCCTTTGATTTCTCAGGTCTGTTCCCCTTCTGCCTCCACCCCTGGATCTGGGGAAGGGGCTGCAGAAGGTTCTTTCTGCAACTGGCCCTCTAGCCCTTCCTGGCAGGTCCGGGCCTTCTGGGATTAGTCCCTAGACACTTCATAAGCCAATCACCTTACTGTGGAGATTTTCACTCTTACTAAGTTGGCCAGAATTTGTTCTGTTCGTGCTATTGGGCTTTGTGCTGTCCCATCTTGACTCTTGAATGAAAGCCAGGGGGAGGGCTTCAGCCCAGCTGCCAGTCCCCTTGAAGGCAAAGACATTTGCCTGGGCTGGATGGTGAAGATTTCTGGGGAGTGACGTCACCCCTGTGCGCACTGTCCTTATTCTAAAGTTTGGTGCCAGGGATTTAAGTTCCTGAGAGGGGTGCAAAGGACCCCATCTCTTGTTCTAATGCCCTGGACTATTACACGTGAGTGGAATGTTTTCACTTTGAACACAACATGTGTTCCTCCCATTTCAAGTATTGGGAAATTGTTAGACAGGGCTGTGGGTGTTGTCGGTGCTGTCAGAGGTTGCCCAGGGTATATTTTAGCACTGGGACCCCTCTCCCCCTTTTTCTAATATTTAAGGAGTATTTTATAGGTTTCAACAACCACCCCACTTGAATTTGTACCATGGGAGTGGTTTAGACGTGACTGACCCAGCTTAAGGCCCACTGTGGAGGCTTTGTCTTCCCTTTTTTTTTTTTTTTTTTTTTTTTTGTATAATAAAGTGAAAAACAAAGGTTTGACTTCGTCTGGTCACTGAAATAAGTGGGTGGCAGGGGTTACCCCAATAACAGGTTTGACATAAAACCCTTGAAGCCACCTTGTTTGCTCTTTCTGGAACCATTTTCCTGTTCCCTAAAGATTCTGCAAGCAGCCTGCCTTCACCTTGTTCCTGATCTTTGGTAATACAGCATGCTCATCTGAGCTTGAGAGGTTGGAGAGTAGATGCCATCTTCACCCAGAGGGCATTGCTTTAGGAAAGGAGGTAGTTGACCACAGGGATGAAGGGTTCATCCAGGCCATGAAAGCCCTTCCAGTCATAAGCCTTAGGGAGAGCCAGGTTTAGTCCCAACTCCACCGAACCTTCTGATGGAAAGCTGCTAGGACCAGAGGATTTGCTCTCTGGATTGAGACCTGCTTTCCCTGCTCAGGCTTTGGCTGGGTTACTGAACAGGTGAATGGGTGAAAGGTATGGATCTATGCAAAAGCTCCCCATTGGTGACACTCCAATTCCTGTCTGCACTTCAAGTGTCCACTCATTCCCAAGAGTCTGTTCCCCAGTCATTAGCTGACTTGTCATTACTCCAGGGGACATTTACCTGTATCCTACCCTCTGGACTGCCTGCTTCTGTTAGCCCTCACTAGTCATCCTTCCAGGATATTCCTGTTATCTCCTCTGAATCCCTAGTTTTCACCCATTGGGAACCATTCTAAAAGGTGGTGGTATCCAAGCAGACATGGTGGCACATGCCTGTAATCTCGACATTCAGGGGGCCGAAGCTAAGGAAGAGCCAAGAGTTCAAAACTAGCCTGTGCTACATAGGGAGACTCTCCCCCAAATAAAAGGTGATGTACAAGGAAGGCACTGTCTGCTGTGACTTGGTTGTCTCCAAACTCATATTGAAACCTCACTGCCATGATAATCGTAGTAAAAGGATGGTACTTGTTTTGTTTTGCTTTGTTTTGTTTTTCGAGACAGGGTTTCTCTGTATTGCTTTGGAGCCTGTCCTGGAACTCTCTCTGTAGACCATGCTAGCCTCAAACTCAGAGCTCCACCTGCCTCTGCCTCCCAAGTGCTGGGATTAAAGGCATGTGCCACCAACACCCGGCTAGAATCAGTTCTTTTTGGTGATCAAACTCAGGGTCTTGTGCTTGGTGGCAGGTACCTTAATCTGCTGAGCACCTCATTAGTCCCATGAAGTGGGACCTTTAAGAGGATACAATTAGGAGGGGCAGTGGTGTCACACACTTTTAATCTCGGCACTGGGGAGGCAGAAACAGGCAGATCTGTATGAGTTAGAGGTCAACCTGCTCTACAGAGCTAGTTCCAGGACAGTCAGAGCTGTTACAAAGACAAACCCTGTCTTGAAAAAAAAAAAAAAAAAACAACCAAAAAAAGAGGATATGATTACAAGAGTCTAGCCCCACCACCCAGGATCCCCATCCTTTTACGACCACCACCGTTTACTTTCTGGAAAGACCTGGAGTCGGTCTTGCTTAGTTTCGATCCTTATCATATAGTCTTCATGAAGCAGGCAAAAATGGTCTTACGGCCAAATTTGAGACTGAAAGTGGTGGTACGTGCCTGTAATCCCAGCATGCAGGAGGCCAGGTCAGGAAGATTGCCTGGTGTTTGAAGCCAGCCAAGACTATATAATAATTTCAGCCCAGTCTGGATTAGAGCAGGACCCTGTCTCAAAAACCCAAATGCACAAATCTACCTGTGGATCCTACCTGTGGTCCTAACTAGGAGTTCAAGACTTGCCTGGGCAATATGGAGAGAGCTAGGTTCGAGGGAGGGAGGGAGAGAGAGAGAAGACAAGCTGAGTGTGGTAGCATATACATACCTGAAATCTCAGGATTTGGACAGCTGAGACAAAAATTTGAGGCCATCCTAAACTACATAGTGAGTTTGAGGCCATCTAGGGCTACATAGAAAAAGCCTGTCTCAAAAATAAATAAATGATCTAAAACAACCATATTCAACAACTCAACAACAAAAAACAAACATGGGTGTGTGTGGGTATGTATGTGGCATGTACCAACACCCAAAAGGTTGGTGCTGAAGCTTTATGTGTTCTAGGCCAGCCTGGGGTACACAGAGAGCACTTGTCTTCAAAACAAAGACTGTGATCACTTCTGTTTTCAAAACTTCTTGGGCTGAGAGATGGCTCATGGCTCAGGGATTAAGAGCACTGGCTGCTCTTCCAGAAGACCTAGGTTCAATTCCCAGCACCCACGCAGCAGCTCACTGAGTCGGTAACTCAGTTCCACCTGCAACTTCAGTAACACCATACCACCAATGCACATAAAATATAATTAAATATTTAATTATTTAAAAACTTATTGTGAGGGTTGTGGATGTAGCTCAGTGGTAGAGTTCATGTCTAGTATACACAAGACTATGGGTTCCATCCCCAGCACCACAAAAATAAATGTTTTTGAAGACTGGCCTGGTAGGCTCTCTCCTTGTAACCCCAATACTTAAGAAGTAGAGAAAAGAAGGTCAGGAATTCAAGGTCACCCTTAGCTAGACAGTTTGAAGAAGCCAGGTAGGACTACTTAAGACTTTATCCACAAAAATTATATCACACACACACATACACATACACACACAAACTGCCATGGCCCTTAGCACCCAAATCCTCTATTTTTACTGTGTTCTTCCTAATCACTTACAATGATCCAACTCTCTCTTCTATAACTCAAGAATGTGTGTACCACAGAGTGTTTGTGCTTTTTGTTTTGTTTTATATCGATAGGGTTTCCCTGTGTAGCCTTGGCTGTCCTGGAACTTGCTCTATGGACCAAGGTGGCCTCCAACTCAGAGATCAGCCTGTCTGTCTCTTGAGTGCTGGGATTAAAGGAGTGGGCCACCATGCTCCTTTTCTTGCTCCCTGCCCAGCATTCTGTTTCCCCAACAATCCACAAGGCTAATTTTCTCATTTTCTAGGCCTCAGTTCAAATGCCATCTCACAGACAGCCTCCCTCTCTGCTTGTGTGTTTACCTGTTTGTGGTCTTTCTCCCTGACAAAGACAATTAACTTGCTTTCATTCATTACAGTAACCCAGCACCTAAATTGCCCTTGTGTGCATTTGATATCTAAGAGAAAATATGATAAGGGTCTGGAGTAGGCCACAAGCCCCGGGGGCGAGGGTGGGTCAAATCTTTCGTGGCCTCTATGTGCCAACTCCAGCCACACCAGTCCTCAAACATACAACATCCTTCAGTTCTTTCTGCCTGGAATATGTATGTGGAGCATGAATTCAATATCAAGTGTAGTTCCTCAGAATGTTGCCCATGTTTCTGAGAGTCTCATTGGCACCATGCCTGACTTTTTTCTCTTACGTTCTGGAAACTGAACTTCGGGTGCTCACATTTATTACACAAATACTACATCACCAGCTCAGCCATGTCCCAGACTCTGTCTAGAGTAATCTTCACCTCTTGGCTTAGTGATTCAAGACATTATTTATTTATTTATTAGGGTTTTTTTTTTTTTTTTTTTTGAGACAGTTTCTCTGTATAGCTCTGGCTGTCCTGGAATTTGTTCTATAGACCAGGCTGGCCTAGGAGCTCCAAGAAATTCTCCTGCCTCTGCCTCCCCAGTGCTGGGATCAAAGGTATGTCCCATTGCCACCACACTCAGGAAGAGAGTGGTGGGATATGCTTTTAATCCCAGCATTTGAGAGACAGAGGGATATAGGCCTCTGTGAGTTCAAGGCCAGCCTACATAATAAGACCTTGTTTCAAACAAAAACAACCAAAGTTGCAGAGGTGGCTTGCTGTTAAGATCACTGACTGCTCTTCCTGAGAACCCAGGTTCAAGTCTCAGCATCCACATGGCAGTTTACAACTATCTGGAATTCCAGTTCTAGGAGATTTAATCCCTCCTTCTGGGATCTGCAGGTAGTGTATGGACATTCAAATAAGCAAAAAAAAAAAGTCTTTCTCAGGGAAGAATAGGGGTGGGCTTCCTTAAGTCCTTTGCTGCTGCTTCCTGTTCCTCCTCCTTTCTTCTCCCCCCCCCCCCCAAGATAGGGTTTCTCTCTCTGTAGCTTTGGAGCCTGTCGGAACTCACTTTATAGACCAGGCTGGCCTTGACCTTACATAGATCTGCCTGCTTCTGCCTCCTGAGTGGTGGGATTAAGGGCGTATGCCACCACCACCCAACCCAAGGATAATTTTTTTGGGGGGGTGTTTGGGACAGGGTTTCTCCGTGGCTTTGGAAGGTATCCTGGAACTAGCTCTTGTAGGTCAGGCTGGTCTCAAACTCACAGAGATCCGCCTGCCTCTGCCTCCCAAGTGCTGGGATTAAAGGCGTGTGCCACCATCACCCGGCCTGATAAATTTTTTTAAAAGAAAATGTAAGTAAATTTGTAATGACAGGGAAGACACTATAAAGAAAAACAACAGCTAGTGCTGGGTAAATGGCTCAGCCTTTAAAGACCAAGGCTCACAACCAAAAGGAGGAGCGTTTGGTTCTCAACACCCACACCCACAGCTGTCTCTCCAGTTTAAAAAAAAAAAAGAGAGAGAGAGAAAGAGTAACAGCTAATTGGTATGATGGCATAGTATTGTAATGCCAGCAAACAGGAGGCTGAGGCAGGATGGGCTATATCAGACCGAGTGTCAATGGAGCAAAAACCAGATAGCAGCAGTCAAGATTTACCAGGAACCTAAGGTAAGTCTCTCATGCACTGACTTCCATGTTAGCTTCTGTTTTGTTTCTAAGACAGGGTTTTACTATGTAACCCTGTAGGTATTTTTATGTAGATCAGAGATCCTCCTGCCTCTGCCTCCATGTTGTGATAAAAGGTATGGCGTGGCATAAACCTATTTTGTTAATCTTCACAATGCGACAGGTACTATCCTTATAGAAGAAACCGGAGACACAAGAAGCTCTTTTGCCATCTCCAACCAGTTAAGTTCAGAACTAACGTGTGGTTTTAACAGCTTCGAAATATCTACCAAACGACCTCCAGAAACGTTTGCTGAAGACTGAAGAGCCAATGATGGTCTCAAAGTATGTGATTTCAGAGTTTGATCTTATCTGAAGCGAGAGAGCTGTCATACAAGTTCCAAGGCAGCAGACACGGCCACCTAGATGTGAGCGCTATTCTAAACACCTTCAGTGGCTCAGAAAAGGACTTTTCCTCCCGAAGGTAAGGAGGCGAGAGCACGCGGATAAGGGCACTCCCAGAGGAGCAGCACATAGTGTAGGCAGAAACTGGCCCGTGCCAAGCAGGCTGTCTGAGAGATGGAGGGTCCAGCGTGGGCTCCGGAAGCAGGAAAAGCGAGCAGGTGTGGGATCTAAATTAGGATGAGAGCGGGGAGCGCGCTCCGCTCAGAAGGGCGCAGCTCGCGCTCGGCGGTGGACCCTCTCCCTCTAAGCTTTTCTCGGTTCGGAGACCTAAGGTGGGCAGTGACCCACCCAGAACCCCGGAGAACGGTTCAGCCCAGCCCCTTGTAAGGGTTTTCCGTCCTGAGCGTCTAATTGCACCCCACTTCAAGCCCGTCCTCCACATACAAGTGACTGCATGCCTCGGGGTCAAAGTGGGGAGCGGCAGGGGAGCCGAGCGGGGAGCCCCGCGGGAAGGGCGGGGGTGCCTGGGCCGGAAGGCGTCCCAGGCTCGGCAGGGAGCCGGCGCTCTCTTTCGACGCCACCCCGTTGCCTCCGCCCCCGAGCCGGCCGGGACGGCACCAAGTCTCCGCCCCTGGCGCACCGCGCACCTCACCTTGAACGCTGCCCCACCCACCTCTAAGCCTATTGGGCCTCCTGGGCCAAAGAGAGTCCTCGATTGGCCAGGCTGTTCGCGGAGGCCCCGCCCGTCTCCCCGCCCCAGCTCCCGTCCGCCGGTACTTTGGACGACGGCGTGGCGCCCCTCCTCCCCTCCCGGTCCCCGCCCCCTGGAGCAAATGCTGCCGAGCTGCGGCCGCGGGGCAGATGCACGCGCTCGGGCCCTGCTAGCAAGCGCGAGCAGTCGCTGGGCGCGCGAAAGCGAAAGGAGGAAGAGGAAGGGAGGGCGAGGGCGGGGTGTCGAGGAGGGGCGGGAGGAGGAAGAGGAGGAGGTTGGAGCGCGCTCGCTTCTGGCCTCGCGCCCGCGCCGAGGGAGGGGGGAGAGGGGCGCGCGCGCGCACGCTCGCGTCCTCGCTCGCTCCATCCATCCATCCTCCGGTCGCGGCACGCGCGCGCGCTCCGGGCTCGCGCCGCACCCCCCGCCCGGGAGAGGCGGGCTGGAGTGGGGGGCGGGGGGAGGGGCGCGCGGACGGCGCGCGGACTGCGCGCGGGCGGGGTGAGGTGAGGAGGAGGAGGCGGCGACGGGACGAGAAGGGAGGGGAAGGGGCCATGGCCGCCCGGTGAGGCGGCGAGGCGGGGGGGCAGCCCGACCCCCCGGCCCCGGGCCCGGGCCCCGGGGAGAGGCGAGGACGGACCGACGGACATGGGGCTCCGGAGCAGCCGCCGCCGCCGCCGCCGCCGGAGGACGCGGCCCTGAGAGGCCGCCGGGCCCCGGCGCGGCCCCCCGGGCGGGGTGAGTACGGAACGGGGACGGGGGAGGGGCCTGCGGGGGGCGGGGGGCGGGGCCCGAGGCGGGGCTTGGGCCCCCTCCCCCCAGGTCTGGGTCAGCGCCCCTTCCCCTCCCCCCGGGCCGACGCGGAAACGCCCGGCTTTCCCCGGCTTCCCGGCCGGCCCGGGGCCCCCCGGTCTCCCCCTGGCTGGGTCCTCCTTGGGCGGGGCAGGGCCGGCCGGGGAGGGGGCGCGGGGCCTTTGTTAGGGAGCCAGGCCCCAGCCCCCGGGACAATAGAGACACCCTCCCGGACTCCTTTCCCCGGCCGGTCCGGGCTCTGGGCTGGCGGCCACCGAGAGGGGTCGGGACGCGTCCCGCTCTGCCTACTCTCTGGGGGTCGCCCTGTCCCGGCCCGCCGCTGGCCTTGGGCGGCTCGGCTCTCCTCCCCCCCAGTCGGTATGATGCAGCAGCAGTGCCGCAAGGACGGGAGAAGAGCCGCGGCACGGCCTGCTACCCTTCCCAGTGCCCCTGGCTCGTTTGTCAGTCCCCACCCCACTCGAGGCCGGCAGCTCCTTAAACTCGTACCCACCGTTCAGTGGGGCCCCGAACTGTGGGCGCTGTTTCTGAACCCAACGGTGGGGATTTCTGGACTTTGGGGCTCTTGGAGAGACTTCCGGGCTGGTCCTGAGGGAGGGAGGGGGCGATCTAAAAGAACAGGTAAGGGGAGTGCCCACTCCTCCAGTGCTGGCCACGGGGCTCTCCTCTGCTCCTGTTCGTGATGGCTGGAAATGCCCTTTGCCCGTAGGCTTCTGTGGGTTCCGTTCCTTTCCTAGGCTGGCAGGCTTATTTTACGAGAAGACAGTGGGGTGAAGGTTGTAGGGTCTTAGGGCCATTCCTACTTCTGGTAGCAGTACCCCCCCAAGTGGACATCCTGGCTGAAAGCAGAGGTGACTCTGAGAGCCCTTAGGGAAAGGGGGGTTGTCTTGAGGAGTCTGTGCAGTTCTTTGCCACACCCTGTGGGTTTGCTTTGAGGCCTTAGAGTTCCTTCTCCTCCCCCTGCTGCATTGCACCATGGGTATCAAAGAGGGGTTTGAGTTTTGGGTACCTGGGATGAGCTGCTGCCTCCTATAGACCCAGGGTCTGATTGGCAGTACAGTTCAGGGCCTGAGCTTAGGCCTGGGAAGGACTAGGCCACTTCTGGTTTTCAGGCCCTGAAAACCATCAGACTTAGTGATCCGGGGCCTTGGGGAGGGAGACTCTCTGATGCCAGGATTAAGCCCCGGGCTCGGAGGTGGGGAGGGGAGGTGGCAGTCTTTGGAGGTGTCTTGGACTCACACCAACACCCCCACCTCCATGTGTGCAGCCCTGTTGCCGCCCGCTGTGCTATGAGCAGTCAGAGCGCCGTCTCCACAAGAGTTTACAAATGAAAATGGAGGAAATGTCTTTGTCTGGCCTGGATAACAGCAAACTAGAGGTGAGGGCTCGCCACGTGTGCCTCTAGTTCTTTCTCTTGGTGTCTCTGCGTCGCTATATCTGGCATCCATGCCAAATAGGAATTTGGGTAGTCAGCCTTGCTCCTTAGACGGAGTAGCCAGCTGAAAGGACCCAAGGATCTAGGAGGAAGAAAGAACTAGAAAATCAAGGTGGGGAAAGTGGCAAAGAAGGCAGCATATTTGTCAGGGCCAGGACATTTGGCTTGTGAGAGCCTTTCAGTCCCGGGGGCTGCCACCCTTGTGACCGTGGCTATTCTCTCCTGGGGCCCAGGCCATCGCTCAGGAGATATATGCGGACCTGGTCGAGGATTCTTGTTTGGGATTCTGCTTCGAGGTACACCGGGCTGTCAAGTGTGGCTACTTCTTCTTGGATGATACGGATCCTGATAGCATGAAGGATTTTGGTGAGCCTCAGGGCGGAAGGAGAGTGGTCTAGCTCTGCCCCTCTGCCCAGGGGGGACTTGCAGGGTTCTCTAGGAACGGCCCTAAGTACAGAGCCTGGAGCTCCTGTGAGCTTAGGCAGGGATGAGTTTAAAGAGGGCGTGGGACCACAGGTGAGAGAACCAGAGGTGAGGGTACCCTGCCTGCTCTGATCGCCACGCTTCTCCTGTCCCCAGAGATCGTGGACCAGCCTGGGTTGGACATCTTTGGACAGGTTTTCAACCAGTGGAAGAGCAAGGAGTGTGTTTGCCCCAATTGCAGTCGCAGTATTGCTGCTTCCCGCTTTGCCCCCCACCTGGAGAAGTGCCTGGGAATGGGTCGTAATAGCAGCCGAATCGCCAACCGTCGGTGAGAACATCTTTCGGTGATGGGCATCTTGTGCCATCTAGCATGGTGTAGTCCCATGGGGGCAGGTGGTAGGGTGCAGAGAGCAGGCTGTACTCAACCCTCACATACTTCACTATAAAATAATGTGCAGATGTGTGATAACCTTGACCGTTTCTCTTCTCAACTCTGGATAGGATTGCCAATAGCAACAATATGAACAAGTCTGAAAGTGACCAAGAAGACAACGATGACATCAATGACAATGACTGGTCCTATGGCTCAGAGAAGAAAGGTGTTTGGGGATCTGGGGCAGCCCGGGGTGAAGTGGGAAAGCAGGGTTATAGCGTAATACATTTGCCATAAACGGTCTTGATGATGGGGGAAGAATGTCGTTTTTAAAAACATGTAAGTGCTGAGACTGAGAATTTAAAAGTAACTGTGTTCTTTGTTCTGTTGTCCCCCAGCCAAGAAGAGAAAATCAGACAAGGTGAGAGCCGGGCCGAGCATGGGGGAAGTTTGGGTGAAGGACAGATACCCTCCCTTTGGGCTCAGGTCTTTTGACTCAAGTGTGGTGTCACTGGGGGGGGGGCTCTCTGGGTTTGGGAATAAGGCTGGCTGTCTGGTGGGCAGGGGAGCTCCCTCTGGTGGGAGGGAGGGAGGGAGGGAGGAAATATAGGCAGACAGACCTCTTACCGGGGAGGAAGAGCTTGAGGTTGTTTCTTTGTCAAATCTTTTTTCCTTCCCTGGGTTCTCGGCTCCCCCTTATCGTTGCCCTTTCCCCAAAGCTATGGTATCTCCCATTCCAGAACCCTAATTCCCCTCGAAGATCCAAGTCTTTAAAACACAAAAATGGTAAGTGGGGCTAGACCAACAGGGCCACTGCTGCTTGTGTCATCACATGACTTGGGGTGGGAGGGAGGCAGAGGGGGCAGGAGTGCGAGGGAGGGAGGGCCTGTGAGCCTTCTGTCACCCCCACTTCCTCTCTGGTTATTTTCAGGGTTCTCTGTCTGTACCTCTGCATCAAACACCCTTCCCCTTCTTTTTTCTTCTTCAGGGGAACTTAGCAACTCCGACCCTTTTAAGGTGAGCAGAAGCTCTTTTGTATGCCTCTTCCCAGTGCCCTTGTGAGGTGGCTGGGATGCTGACAACTAGAAGAGGTTGTAGGGCTATTTGAGTATTGGGTGTTGGCGTACTTTGTGGGCCCCATCTCCTTGTCTCCGTGCAGGTAGGTTGGAAGGACTCTTAGAAAACAAACAGCAGGGAGACAGGGATGAGAGGGTCCGAGGCTCCGTTCCCACCGCTTTCCTGTGTGTGCGCTCTTCTTTTGCTTCTTTGACCGGTGCCTCTGGTTCTCTCACAGTATAGCAATTCAACTGGGATCAGCTATGAGACCCTGGGGCCAGAAGAGCTTCGGAGCCTGCTCACCACGGTGTGTAATTGGAGGTGGGGAGGATTGGCTTGGGCTAGACAGTGGGTAAAAGTCAGGACTATGAAGGACATAGGTGACAGCAGCGGGAGCCATAGTTTTCTCTGAAAGTAGGCGCCCTGTTCCACCTTCTCTGGGACCAGCGTCTAGCATTGATGCAGAAGAAGCATCTAGTGTTTGTAGTAGGTCCCCTACCTCTCCTTTCAGCTTATGTTCCTCTTCCAGCAATGTGGAGTGATTTCTGAACATACCAAGAAGATGTGCACAAGGTGAGCACAGAAACTAAAAAGGGGGCTGATCCTGGGCCTGGGTCGGGAGTATTCCCAGATTTGAGCAATGGGCCCTCAATCTTAACCCTCCCTTCATCTGATAGGCCTTACTTATTAGGCCGCCATCTGGGGATTCTACCACTGACTCTTTCCCTGTCCCTCCAGCTTCTGCTCCACCTGGGTTCCTGAAGTCCTTCCCTGCCTTGTCAGGGTCTGATCATTCTGTCCCCACCAGGTCACTACGCTGCCCCCAGCACACGGATGAACAGAGGCGAACCGTACGGATTTATTTCCTTGGGCCCTCAGCGTAAGTGACCTTTCCAGAAGGGCGGTGGGTCTGGTTGGTGGTCTCCTTCCCTAACATGTTTCTTTGACTCCTCTTTCCAGTGTCCTCCCAGAGGTTGAGAGCTCCTTGGATAATGACAGCTTTGACATGACTGACAGCCAGGCCCTCATCAGCCGGCTTCAGTGGGACGGCTCTTCTGATCTCTCACCTTCTGATTCAGGCTCCTCCAAGACTAGTGAAAATCAAGGATGGGGTCTAGGTATACAATCCCATTTGATCTCAGGGGCTTTGGGCACTGGGGCACCACCTCTCCCATCACAACTCCACTCATCCCCTGTGCCTCCTCCTCTGCAGGTACCAACAGCTCTGAATCTCGGAAAACCAAGAAAAAGAAATCCCATCTGAGCTTGGTAGGGACTGCCTCCGGCCTGGGCTCCAACAAGAAGAAAAAGCCAAAGCCACCGGCTCCCCCAACGCCCAGCATCTATGATGACATCAACTGACTTGGGTGCAAAGGATAGCCTTTGGCTGAGAGAGCCCTCTCTCCCAACCCCCACCCAGGCAGCATAGCCTGGCATATGGACAGCTGCTGGGGGTTCGGGCTTGGGAAGCTTGGTGGCCCAGGCAGGCAGAGGATCCACTTATGTGCCCCTGGGGGGTGTCAGGGTCCTCTGCAACGAAGCATGACCCCTCGGCGTGCAGGACTCAGACCTGGACATATTATGCCTTGGACATAAGTTTGGTGGGGAGGTGGTTTTCCTATTTATTCTGTGAGTTACTGGATGTCCAGCTAGGCTGGGGGCCTGACCTGGGTACTGTGCCAGGGCACTGCCTGCTCCCCACCCCAGGAACTGGACTAAGCCCTGCCGAGGGGCACTGTGGCTACCCAGGCGGCTTTGGTTTGGAAGCTGAGCCCAGAGGGGGCCTCCCCTGGCTGCCCTCAGCAATGTGAATGGGTCTGGTGCTTGGAGCTGAGGGGCAGGGCTGGTGTGTCCTGTCTGTGTGCAGAGTCCTATCAGATGTTCCCAGTCCCCGGGGTCGGCAGGCAGAGTGCTGCCTGCCGAGGTGGGCGTCCAGAAATGCCTCACAGGGGCAGCCCTTTCCCCTCAGTCCCCATGGGCCTCCTTGGCAGCAGGAGCTGTCCTTTTGTTGTTGGGTGCCAGGAAAGGGCCTCTAGCCTCTACAGCTTCAAGGACTGGGAAGGGGAGGGTAGGAAGAGGGAGCCTGTATCAGAGTGGCCCCCTGCCCTCCCTGCCCCAGGGCTGTGAGGACAGCCCAGGTGAGAGGGACGGTGCTGCTTTATTTGAAATGTTTCTTACCTCATTCCCTGCCCCAGGAAGGGGCCCAGCCTCACCCTCCTGGGGTGGCCCCATGTTCACCCTCCCATCCTGCCCCCTCCCCACCCCTGCCCTGCCCTGCCCTGCTGGGGCAGCCTGAGTTCCCAGCTGCTGCTTGCCACCCTTCACCTTGACCAGCTTTGGTTCCTCTCAGTGCTCCCGCCTCTAAAGCCTGCCCTGTTCCCCCTCCCTTGCCGCTTTTAAGTTATTTATTCTGTACTTGTGGTTTGGGGCTCTGAGGAAAAACCCTAATCTTGTGCCTCTCTCCCTTTGCTAGGAGGAGTAGGGTGGGATGAGAAGGTAGTCTCTGCCCTGGGTTGTCAGTGGAGGTTGGATGGGTGCTGTTGCCCCTCTGTGGGACTGTCATGCCAGGGCACCCACCTACTTGGCCTACATCCTGAAGAGATGTACTGTCACACCTCCCAAGAAGGTGGTATCATGCCTTGGGACTGAGCTGGAGGACCTGGGAATGGGCTGGAGTACAGCTGACTGATCGGGATGGGGTTGACCCTGAGCCAAGTTTTCTGGCACTTGGTATACATGTCCCCTCTCTCCCCAGGAGGAGGCACTCACTCCCACATTGGGTAGCTAGTACCCAGGACTGGTTGGACTTATTTGGGTTAGGGACCCTAGAGGGTTAAGGGAACAACAGAGCTAGGGTTGTAGAACCCTGTCTGGAACCCCAAGTCTCCCCCTGGGGTGGTTCTGATTGTGGCTGATGCCTGGTTACAAATTGGTTTTTAACCCAAGCATTGTGATTATTTTTTAAAAAGTCAAACCAATTTTGGCAGGAGTTAGAATAAATCCTGGAGCCTGGGCTCCTCTGTCCTTGGCCCTCCACAGCCTTCTCCCTTGAGGGGGGGGGGGACTAAAGGGGGAGAGAAGGTTCTCAGCGGCTTCCAAGCACTGGCTTGGGAGCCTGCTGAAGGTCAGGGGAAGCCGGACCAGGCTGCTATCCCTTCAGAGAAGTAGCTGCAGCTCAGGCCAACTCACTCTGTTCTCCCTCCTCTCCCGTTCTTCTCTGGTTAGAGGGAGTAGTTTGGGAACTGGTTTGTCCACAAAAACTTCCCTATTGTTCTTTGGCTCACCCTCAGGGCAGAGCCCCCTGCCCAGGCTGGGTAAGAGATGGGCTTGGTCCAGCAGGGACCCTGAGGGAACAAACCCCTTCTGGGGAGTATGCCCCCCTACCGTGTAGTTGAACAGGGGCTAGGAACTCCCCCCTTCCTCCCTCTAACAGCAGGCTGTGTGGGTTTCAATTCCCATCCTCCCCACCCTGGCTAGGTGTCGTCCGCCCTGTACCCTATCATGTGTCTGAGTGTGTGTGGGGGGGTTCTGTACTAATTTCCATGGCCGGTGGCTTTTCCTTCCATGCATCACTCCCCCCCGCATGCCCAGGGGCCACCCGCCTGGCATTACCGCATGCTGGGGTCATTGGGGGAGGGGGGTGGGGCTCACGCTGTCCTGTGGTCTTGAGATTTTTATTTTTGCATATGTAATCCATCCTGTACAGGTAGCTAACTTTGTAAACGCTGTGTATTCCCGTTGCCCCCATGGCTGCTGGTGTAAATAAACTGCATCTCCCGTTGGTAGCCTGGCCTACCCACCCTCATTACTATGTTACTGAGGGTAGAGCAGACACAAAAGAGGCTCCACAGCCACAAAACGCAATTTTATTCACTTGTACTGAGCCACCATCTAAGGGCCTAGGGGCAGGGCAAGCTATACCCAGAGCTTGTCCTTGGAGCCGGGCAGGACACTGGACTCAGTCCAGTGTTCTCTTGCAGTCTTAGGTCTAGGCTAGCAGCAGCTGTGGCCTGGTCCCTCAATGCTGGGGGCTAGGCCTTCTGGCCCAATCCCCTTCCTAACTGAGCTCTATGTGGGCTATTTGTGGGGGGGAGGGGGAGGAGAAGGGCAAGCAAAGTGCTTTGAGAGAAGGTAAAAGATCCCATTCCTACTACAAGGGTACAGGGAAGAGGTGGCAGCTGGGTGCCTGTAGGAAAGCCAGCATCGTCTTCATCCCTGCCTGTGAATTCAGTTTCAGAAGATCCGCACTCATCTAAGTCGAGGAAGGCTAAGGCCATGCTGAGTTTCCCTGGCAGCAGCCCTGTGGAAAGTTGGGAGGGGACATGCAAGAAACTGGGAAAGGGCTAGGGCAGTGGCCAGGAGGGAAGACCCAGAGCCCAAGCTTCTCACTGAGCTTGACATTTGAACTTTGGGATTCCAAAATCGGGAAGATGATATCCTTGTTTCTACCTGAGTTGTGCTTGCAGAGATATCTGTACCCTGTGGACACCAAGGGAGGCCACACGTTTGCTTCCTGGGTCCCATGGACAGGGTACCCACCATATTCTTCCCATCCCTCCCTCCCAGGTCCTTGGGCCCAGCTCTGGCCAGGAAAGGGGGGAGGCCATGAAAGAGGAAGACCATGCCTTTCATTGTCTCCCGGATGTCCTTATCGTCCATACATCCCAAATACTAGGAAGCTGAAGAAGACTGTGACTCCTACCAAGGAGACAGTGGCAGGTGCTGTGAAGAACTGACGGTAATTGATACGGAAGTACCAGACCACACCCAAGAGCACCACAAACACAGGCACCATGAGGCTGCCCACGTTGACACCAAGGCTGGATGGCTCAGTGGCTGAGGGGGTCAAGGAGCCCGAGGAGCCAGAAACAGCTGCCCCTGGGGGTGAGCGGTGGCAATGAATCACACAGTTGTCGGTAATGTTCAGGGAACTCAGTGTGCGAGCTGGGTCCTGCAGCAGCCGACCCTGGTAGATCAGCTTCATCTGGCTCTCTTGTCCAGGGAAATATTTGCTATAAGGACGAAAGGAAAGACTGGGTAAGGAATGAGGACACATAGACCTGAACCAACAAAGCAGGGCATGGAAGATTATGAAGTCTCTTGTTTCCCCTTAGCAGAAACCAGCTGCTAAAACTCCTCTAGTGTTCTCAAATCTGGACCAACTTTTTCAGGGAAACCAATGCCTGAGGCACAATGCCTGAGTAACTGCTCTCTTTCCAGCCTACTCACCTCTTTAGGGTACCCACAGTGTCCTCTGGCCTGGCCACAGCTAGCTCCTCAGTATCATTGAGGAACTTGAGCCGAACATTGATGAGGCTGGGGCTGGGAGAGAGGCAGGTGCTATCATCCAATCCCAGTGAAGCTTCTGGACGGCTGCTCTCCAGGCCTGCTTGTCTTTTAGGTACACCTTGGATATCCAGAAGATGCTCAAGGCTGGGCTCTGTATCTCCCCTAGCTCCAGGTTCCCCAGTGGAGTCTCCCCCAGTGTCACTGGTCTCTTCAGCCTTCTCATCAGTCCCTTCTGATGGATGGGGGAGTTCAGTTGGTTCTGGAGTGCCTTGGCTTACCAGCTGGTCCACATGCCCCAGGTGGAGAACAGATGTGTCGCCTGCTGACACAATGGTGCCCAGCAATTGGTTGTTACTGCTGTCTGCTACGTAGGTAGAGAGCCAGGCTAGGACCAAGGCTAGAATCAGCACCACCACACCTGCCACCACCATCACCTCATTACCCACACCCTCAATGAGGGTGACATCAGAGAGCTCCATGGCTTGGCTGCTGACTGGGTCCACACTGCAGGAACAAAGAGGGATAGCATCAGCAGGGCCTGAGGGGCTATAACCAGGTTTCTAGTTTGTTTTAGGTTTTGAGTCATGCTGGAGGGAAGAAAAATAGTTTGTGGTGTTGTGCAGGAGAGGCAACCAAACTCCCAAACTGTAGGAGACCCTCAATCTCAAGCTAAGGACTTACACTAGCTTTCAGATTCTGCTCCCATAAAGAACACACAAAGAACACACGTCACCAGGAAAGCCTCATGAGCAATTGTTATTTTTTTCAATTATTTTTTTTTTAATACATGGAGACAAGGTATCTCTGTGTAACCCTGGCTATCCTGTAACTACTGCTCTGTAGACCAGGCAAACTTCAAGAGATCCACCTGCTGCCGCCTCCCTCCTGAGTGCTGGGATTAAAGGCATGCACCACCACACCTGCCTACCTATGCTTCTTTAAGCCTGGAGTTTCTCTAAGATTTCTTAACACAGGGTCAAGTACACATGCCCCTTAAGCAGCTTCAACCGTAGTTGAAGACTCCTTCCTAGGCACTGTGCAGCCAGCCCTGCCAGATTCTCATTTGATTACATCTCACTCATGGCCACAGACCCATGTATGCACAGCTGTCAAGAGAAAATAAATACATTTAGATATATCAAGGACAGATTCAGATCACTTCAAATGGACAGATGTATTGGGACTATCAGCAGATACATGTCTCCTATGATGCCGTTCCGGCAAGTTCTGGGGAGCCACATGGGGCAGATACCGGAAACATTGCCCTCACGGGTCACCATGGGCTGGCTTGGCTCACAACTTTAAAACCACTGCCCCAGCTTACATACCAGTTATCCAGCATACACACCAGTTATCCAGAACTTGGGAAATGATGCAGTAGGATCAAGGGTTCAAGACAAGCGTCCACTACATTGCAATTTCAAGATCAGTTCTAGACCACATGAAGCGGCTTAAGAAAAAAAAAAAAAAAAAAAAAAAAAAAAGCCATTGCCCAAGTAGAAATTACTTGGGGAGATTTCCCAACAAGCTCCAACAATTCTTATTTCATTCTGTCTTGTGCTGTGAAGGTTCTCCCTCTCTCCAGTTTCTTAGAAAAGCATGAAGGATCTCTGCATACTCCTTGGAGTACCTTCCCTTTTCCTTGGAGAACCTACTTTCACAGCTGTCCCTAGGCAAATTGGTTTGGTGATTATCATTACCAGACTATTCTCACAGCACCCATAAAACGTCATTACACTTATAAACTGTCCATCTCTTCATTGACTTCTGGAAGAATCATGCGCAGTTCTCTTTGTACGAAGCTCCCAGAGCAATGGCAGCTCCTCAAAGAATACCGACATTCGAATAATTTCCACAGCCTTAATTTAACAGATTGGCCCTGGAGTCAGGGAAGCAAAAGATCGCGGTCTAGTCCCTCTTCTAGCTATGTAACTTCCAACAACTTTCTCAAGCCTCAGCACTGTCATCAGTAAAGTGGGGTTTAAAATGGTACCTACCTCATAAGGTTGTTTTGAAGATGACGTGAAATCATCGAAGCAAAATAATTAAGACTGTTCGATAAACAAATGATAGCAATTATGTCTCACTCCCACAACCAACCCCTGATGATAAGGTTATGTCAGGAATCGTGATTTACACAAAAAAGGAAACTGTGGTAAAGACAGACGGAAACCGAGGACCCAAGGAACTGCCGTGGGCAGGGGCCAGATAGGACCCCGCGGCTGCCTGCTGCAAGGCTGCAGCTTTCTCCTCAGCCTGGGACGCCCCTGGCCGCGCGGTGTGCGGTTGTCCCGACCCTGCCTTTTCCGAGGCCAAGGCTCTGCGCCTGAGAGATCCTAGTCCCGTGGCAGCAGAGTCCATGAGCTCCCCCCTCCCAGCCGAAGGAAGGGCTTCCGGGTCACGGTCGCAGTGCCCAAGCCCAGCTCCCCTGACCGGTGATGGTTAGGGTCAGGTGAGGGGGGGTCACAAGCCATCCACACCCCTCAAACTTCGGGGCGGGGCAGAGGAACTGGGGGCGGGGCTTGAGGACGCGGAGAGTCATGGGAAACTCAAGAGGGTTTAGACGGGTCCCATTCCTGGATGGGGAAGGAGAGCCTCACCTGACAAAGCCAGGATAAATGTTTTGACTTCGCCAGGACAGTCTCTGCACTCGTCTTTCCGTAGGGGTCGGGGGAGGGGCTGGCAACACGGGATTCTGTCCAGGGTCCTATCTCTTCCGGCTTTCCTCGGAAGCTGTTAACACAGGGACCGGAAGTCCCGCCTCCCCGCCTTGTACTGATGACGCAAGGCTACGTAAGGCGGACTGACGTAAGCGTAACTTTAAAAGGGCCAGGTTGCACGGCGGCAGGAGGGGCGGAGTCATTGTTGGCGGGATTTCGGTCCTCGGGCGGTAAGGCCACGCCCCCGTGGGCGTGGTCCCAGGCCGTTCAGAGGTCAGAGGCGGGGACAGAAGAGGAGGAGAGGCTCGGGGAGGCGCTTGTGGAAGGGGCGTGGTTTCATGCCTAGAAGATTGCCCTGCCAGGCTCTGCTGGACGACCCACCGCTAGGTTTCCCTCTTTCCCTCTTTCCGGCTTCTCGAGCTCCGTAACTAAAGGGATTCATTACTGCTCCGCTAATGCGCACCGGACTCTAATGTTGGGATCCGTAAGGTCTAGTATTTCTGACTTTTAAGAAAGTTGTTACTCGAGGAGACAGGCAAGATGACAAGTTATATAGTCTTAAGTACTATATAGTGAGGAGCTTTGATAACGTTGGAAGGCATTTCAGAGAGACAGAGATATAGAGCTCTTTTAAAAACTGATTTGTTTGCTTGTATTTATGTGTTTGTATGTGTATGCCGTGTGTGTGGTTGCTTGCAGAGGTCAGAAGAGGGCACTGGATCCCCTGGAGCTAGGGTTGCTGGAGGTTGTAAACCGCCAGTCTTGAGTTCTGGGAAGAGAACTCAGATCAGGAAAGAACAGCAAGTGCTCTTAGCCTTCAAATCATCTCTCCAAGTCTCACCCTGGATTGGCTTTTTCTTTTTTTCTGCTAACTATGTAGTAGAGCAGCGGTTCTCACCCTGTGGGTCATGATCCCTTGGGGTTCCAACGACCCTTTCTCAGGGCTTGAATATCCAACATCCTGCATATCAGCTCTTTTTATTACTATTCATGACAGTAGAAAATTATAGTTATGAAGTAGCAACGAAAATAATTTTATGGTTGGCGGTAACCACAACACAAGGAACTGTATTCAAGGACTGCAGCATTAGGACAATTGAGAACTGTTGTAGCAGAGGAAGACCTTGAACTTCTGATCTTCCTGTCTCTGTCTCCCATGAGTTTAACTCAGTGTTTACACGGATCTTAACTTGTTGGTCATTTTTTTAAAAATATATTTATTATGTATACAGTATTCTGTCTGCATGTTTGCCTGCTTGCCGGAAGAGGGCATCAGGTATCACTACAGAAGGTTGTGAGCCACCATGTGGTTATGGGTAACTGAACTTAGGACTTCTGGAAGAACAGCTAATGCTCTTAATCTCTGAGCCATCTCTCCAGCTCTGTTGGTTATTTTTTTTATTATTTTTATTCTGTCTGCATATCTGCTGCATGCCAGAAGAGGGCACCAGATCTCAGGATAGATGGTTGTGAGCCACTATGTGGTTGCTAGGAATTGAACTCAGGACCTCTGGAAGAGCAGCCAGTGCTCTTAACCTCTGAGCCATCTCTCCAGCCCTGTTGGTCATTTTTTAAAATGTGAAAAAAAAATGGGGGGTGGTGGTTCAAGACAAGGTTTCTTTGTATAGCCCTGCTTGTCTTGGAACTCTGGAACTCATTTTGTAGACTAGGCTGGCCTTGAACTCACAGAGATCGGCCCGCTTCTGCCTCCCAGCTGGATTTTTATTATATTTTTAATGTGGGTGCTGAGGATCAAACTAAGGCCTCATACTTCCATTTACCAAATGAACCATCTCCTTAGCCCTTAGGATGACTAAAAAAAAACTTTCTAATATTTTTCCTTTTACCTGTTTATGCTATAGTCTTTATAAAACAAACCTAGGATTTGGGAGGATGGCTCAGTGGTTGCTGCTCTTCCGAAGGACCTGAATTTGATTCTGTAAACCACCTGTTACTGGCTCCAGGGTATCCTATGCTGTCTTCTGGTGTCTGCAGGTATCCCCCACCTTGTGCTCTCAAACACACACAGGAATTTAAAACAAACAAACCTGGAGCCAGCAAAATGACTCAGCAAGGCTCCCGTTGCTAAACCTATGACCTGGGTTCAATCCCCTGGACCCACACGGTGGATAGAGAAAACCTGCTCCTGCAAGTGGTTTTCTGGTGCACACACACACTCATAACTAAGATGTAAAGCCACCCCTAAATTCTGTTCTTTTAATATTTCATGTTCTTTGTAACTGAAAAATCTTTGCCTATAACAAAATGAACACACATAGTCCAATATATCTTTTCTTAAAAAAAACCAAAAACAAAAGTAGCAACTAGGTATTTTGTGGTTTTAAAGCATACTAGAAGAGACTGCACTGGCTGGGGCCTGCCTACTGTAATGGGGCAGAAACTTCAGCATTATTCCCTGGAGTAAGGTTCCCAATTCAGGCCAAGGACTGGGGAAGCCTTCCTTTTCTTCTAGAACCATTGGTTCTCAACTTTCCTAATGCTGCAATCCTTTAATTCAGTTCTTCATGTTGTGGTGACCCCCAACCATAAAATTATTTTTTTCATAAAATTATTTTTGTTGAAGTTGGGTGTGGTGGTGCCCATCTTTAATCCCAGCACTAGGGAGGCAGAGACAGGCCAATCTCTGTGAGTTCAAGGCCAGCCTTGTCTACAAATGGGGCTCTAGGACAGCCAGAACTATGTAGAAAGACCCTGTCTCAACCCTCCCTCCCAAATTATTTTCTTCGATACTTCATAACTGTAGTTTTGCTAGTTATGTATCAAAATGTAAATATCTGTGTTTTTTGATGGTGACCCCTGTGAAAGGGTCTTTTAACCCCTAAAGAGGTCTCAACCCACAAGTTGAAAAGACTGTCTTAGACCTTTGGCCTTGTGGAACTAAAGTAAAACCTCCATCCAGAAACAGGTGGTTCCTACTCTGCTGAACCAGGGCAGAGGCTGTCGTGTGCCAATGAAAGGAATCTGAGCAGACAGAACTCTCAGGAGGCGGGAACTGGCCAGAGGCCCCAGGAAGCAGGCCTAGGGCTCCTGACGTGGCTCTACTGGGTGATGCCAGCTGGTGACTGAGAACCCTGATTCCCAGCAAAAAGGTCAGATAAGCCCCTCTATTCCCTCTTGGGATGCCTACCACAAGGCTCCCGTTTGGGGGGGGGGGCTATAGCTACCACAAGGCTCCAGTGAGGTGTGTGTGTGGGTCCTATGACCTTTTTCATGTCACCAGAAACACTTGAACACTTGTTCAAGGCAGAAAATGTGGAAGCCCCAGAAGAACACAGAGGCGAATACATGTTGAGTAATAGCAGCTTTAGCCCCACTCAAACCTAACAATATGCATACATTTGTTCTGTGCACAAATTATTTATTGGCATTCATGAAACTGATTTGCCTTAAAAAGCCTCCTCCTACAGGTGAATAGTCATGCCTTTTCCTCTCTAAGACCAGAATAGGTACGAGATGATAGCCTTCTAGCTTTCTGGGCTCCAGAAACCATTCTAGAATGACTGCCAGTTAAGATGCCATGTAACACTTGGGTGTAAGGGACAATACATCAAAAATGTCTCAGGTGGCCAGGTGGTGGTGGCACACACCTTTAATCCCAGCACTTAGTAGACAGAGGCAGGCGGATCTCTGTGAGTTTGAGGCCAGCCTGGTCTACAGAATGGGTTCCAGGATAGCTAGGGCTGTTATATAGAAAAACTCTGTGTCTTAAAAAAAAAAAAAAATCTAGTATCCATTCAAGACATGGCTCTCATTAAGAGATATAGGTGTGCTAGGTGTTGGTGGCACACACCTTTAATCCCAGCACTCAGGAAGCAGAGGCAGGCAGATCTCTGTGAGTTCCAAGACCAGCCTAGTCTACAAGAGCTAGTTCCAGGACAGCCTCAAAAAACAAGTAAACAAAACAAATAGAAAGAGAGATAGAATTATGGCTGTGTGGTGAGACACTTGCTAGGCATGTACCAAGTCCTGGGTCCTTGCCTAGTGCTGGGAGAAAAACAAGGAAGCAGCCCTTCCTTTGAGTTCTCTCCAGAGTTGGGCTGGGAAGAAGGCAAAGAAGCAGGGTACCCCTACCCCCATGTCCCAACAAGATCGTCCTAGCTTTGAACTCACAATTCTTCTGCCTCAGCCTCCTTGGTGTTAGAGGTACATGCTATCAAATCCAGCTAAGGGCCTGTGACTATGAAAGCCGCTGAGTATGGGTGGCAAGGGAAGACTGCCCCTGGGGTCAGTTGCTGTAGCCTGGGTGGATAAAGAGGCCATCTACCTACTCAAACATGAGAGTGGTAAGTGGGTGAAAGGTTTCTTTGGGGACAGGCTGAGAAGGCCTGAAGCTCAGTGGGTGGCTTACAGTGTCAGTGGAGGGACAAGCTGGTCCTGCAGGGCAAGCAAAGAGCAAAGGGAAGGGGCAGTGGTTGGTTTTGCAGAGCTGTGTGTAGGAGCATGGAAGCAGAAGTGGCCCGCTCAGAGCTCACTGGATTTGTCCCTCTACCCGCAGCAGCAGGTAGTCTCTGAGCAGTGGGGGCAGTGGGAGTTGGGCGGCCGCCTGCCGACAGTCGCTACCCAACTGAGCACGGACAGCCAGGCGGGCCAGGTGCTGCAGCCGTCTTGGCTGGTTTTCCATGCTTAGGGCTGAGCTGTAGAAGGCTTCATGTTCCTAGGCCAGAAGAAGGGAGGATCGGATGATTCAATACCCCTGATTTTGATAACCCAGTGCCATGTATTGGGGACTGGATTCCAGTGACCACTCCCACCCCAGACTTGCTGGTAGAATTTAGACTTGCTGATAAATGGATGGTTGTCGACAAGGGCTGGGCAGCATAGGAGATCCGCCTGCGCTGCTGTATGCAGAGGCCTGGAGCCCAGGGGTTTCACTGCCTACCCTCTTCTGTCCAGGGTCTGTCTTCCCTCTTTGAAGCTGTTATTGAAGCTTGAAAGGAGAGGCCCCTCTAGCCCACTAGGAAAAAAAAAAAAGCTTGGCCCTTGGAGTGAACGTACCTGCCACAGTTCTGGGAGCACGGCCTCCACCCAGGTGTCACAGGCAGGAACACATGGATAGGCATTAAGCAGGACTTCCAGGGCCCGAGGAAAGTTAGCACAGTGTTTCAGCTTCTGGGAATCAAAACAAGGGCCTAGGAGTTCCATGCTGTCCCAACTAAGGCAAGCCCCAGGCTGTCTAATATAAATCGCTATACACACACCCTCATGTTTCCCGTGCCTCGGCTTGCCCCATCCGCACATACCCCAAGCTCCTGGCCCTAATTTCCTTGACTCTTATCTTCCTTTGGACACCCTATCTCCTCTGCCAAGATGGGAATGGACCTCTAGACCGAGGGAGGCTTTTGATCTCCTAGCCCTTCTAGTCAGGGAAGGTCTGTCCTAGGCTCCCCCTTTCAGTTGAGTTGGTAGCTCCTTCCTCAGGCCCTCCCAGCGCACCTCAGGGTGAACAGGTTGGGCCCCGTAGTCCAGCAGAGCTGCAAAGAGGACCTCAGGCTCCCAGTTGGGGGCATCTTGTACCGCTTGCAGAGCGCAGTCCATGGGTGTGTGGCCTGCCCCATTGGTGACTCCAGTGCTGGCCCCGTGGCACAGCAGCAGCTCAGCCAGGCCTCCACAGCCATTAGCACAGGCGTTGTGTAGTGGTGTGTGGCGCTTGCGACCTGCAGCCCGAGGATCAGCCCCGGCTTCCAAGAGCTGTCGCGCTGCTGCCTCGTGCTGTCGGCAGCTACCTGGCCCCTCTGCTCCAGCGCACGCTGCGTTCAGTGCAGTCTCGCCCTGGCTGGTGCGCAGACCCACGTCTGCACCATTCTCCAGGTAGAGAGCCACGTGTTGCTCCAGGCCACGAGCTGCAGCCACATGCAGTGGTGTGACTTCGCTCTCCCGTGATGCCACATTCACAGATGCTCCAGCATCTAACAGCAACTTGGCGCACCTAAGGACAGGGTGCAAGGCCCGGGAAAAATCCTGAGGACCCTAAGGCCTGCTTTTACCACCCTTATCCTTCCCACACCTCTGCTTTGAGGCCTGACCTCGTGTCCCCATCTGATCACAGAAACTCTACTACTAACACCCAGGTTATGGGGCTAGTAGAAGCTGCCAGAAGCATCTTCAATTTTCAGATGAAAAAGTTAAGCCCCAAACAATCTAGTGGGGCAGCCAAGAGCACAGAGATAGCATTAATAGATGTGGCAGAATCTGGACTGAACTGGCTTATGAATTTTGTGCGAGGTGAGAAGCCCAGGCATCCTAGGCAAGCTATCGTTGAGCCACCTCTGGCTTCTGACAGCATCAGACTCACTATGCCACAGAGAATGACCTTGAACTCCTGATCCTTCTGCCTCTTTGAACTTGCTGGGATTACTGGCATTCACCACCATGCCCAGTTTCTGTGGCACCAAGGATTAAAGCCAAAGCCCCATGCATGTTTGCAGGCAAGCACTCTACCAACTGAGCCACAACCCCAGCTCCTGATCTCTTAATGTTTTGATGGGGCAAGATTTGGAAAATCCACTCCCATGTACACGTGGAATATTAATGTGTGTTAGCAAAAACAGAGGACTACTCTCCCCAAATCTGCTGTGTTTACTTGGTCCAGCAAAGCATTTGGGGGCCTCCCTACTGTCTTTTCCCTTACAGAAAACAAACAAAACATTTTAGAGGGAATCTGTTTCATAGTCTCTGAATCCCTGGAAAAATTACAGGCCAGCACACCATTATAGTAAATGTGCTGCTGCCTATCACGGTGACAGAACATGAGCTGAACTAAACTGCCAATGAAACAAACCAATAGTCATTTACAATGGAAAAGAACAATAGCAGCTGCTGGAAGGGCACAGGCAGATCACTTTGGTGAAGTCCTAAGTAGAGATCCATCCCCCAAGTACAACACAGATCACCATACAAGTGCTCAGTGGCCATGAAGTGGAGTGAACGCTGCCTTTGACAAACTACTGAGTGTAATGCTGCAGTAAATTCTAATTGTTGGCATGTTTTGACTTCTAAAACCAAATTACGAAGCACTTTAACAAGCTCCCTTCTTGTTACGTTTAAAAGAACAAATTCAGAGCGAAGATGCTTGTATATAACCACCTGGAGTTCAGTGTTGTCCTAAGAACCAGAGAAAGGGTGGTAATTCTGGTTCTTCAATACCTGGCCCAAGCTGGCCAGGTACTATATATAGACCAGACTGGCAATCTTCCTGCCTCAGCCTCCTGAGTAGGGCCGGCAAATTTAGATCACTTTGAGGTCTTTTGCTGATCTATAGCTAGTGAGGACAGGCCTCCAGCTGTTGACTGTCAGGATTTTGAGTCCTTGGACCTGCCAGCTGAGTTTGTTGAACTGATTTGTGAAAGAGTAGGTACCACCATGCAGGGAGTCCCTGACACTGTTGGCTTGTGAAAAGTGAAAGGACACTGGTGTGACAGCTCATGCTTGTAATCCCAGTGTTTAAAAGACTGCCCAAGCCGGGCGTTGGTGGCCCACGCCCTTAGTCCCAGCACTTGGGAGGCAGAGGCAGGTGGATCTCTGTGAATTTGAGTCCAGACTGGTCTACAGAACAAGTTCCAGGACAGGCTCCAAAGCTTCAGAGAAACCCTGTCTCAACACCCCCGCAAAAAAAAAAAAAAAGACTGTCCAAACCTGGTGGTCAGGAACACCTTTAATCTTAGCACTTGGGAGGCAAAGGCAGGCAGATCTCTGTGAGTTCAAGGCCAGCCTGATCTACAAAGCAAGTTACAGGACAGCCATGACTGGTACTTTGTTGAAAAAACAAAACAAAATGGTCCTGCCCTAGCCTGGTGGTGGCAGCAGAACAGATCTCTATGTGTTGGTCAGCCTAGTCTACAGAGCATGTTCAAACAAAAAAGGTTGGCCCAAGAAGATCACTCAGGACTTGGAGGCCAGCCTGGACTACACAGTGAGACCCTGCCAACAATAAACAAATAAAAACAGGATGTAATTCAATTAAGATAATAGTTGCCTAGCATGTACAAAGCCTGGTTCTGTGTTGGAATCCCAGCACTTACAAGGTAGAAGTAGGAGCATGAGTTTAAGGTTATCCTGTTCCATGCTACATGAGATTCTGCCTAAAACAAAACTAAATAAAAGCAAAACTAAGCGAGGAGCAAGGCACAGTGGCACACACCTGTAATCTGAGCGCTGAGGAGGCAGAGGCAGGAGGATCATCAAAATTGCAAGGTCAGTCTGGCATGCACAGCAGGTCCCAGACCATCCAGATATACAGAGAAAGACTTTGCTAAAACCAAATACAAAATCAATTTTAAAAATTAACTAAGCGGAGCTGGGCATTGATGGCACACACCTTTAATCCCCGCACTCTATGGAGCTACAGAGCTCTACAGAGCGAGTTCCAGGACAGGCTCCAAAGCAATACAGAGAAACCTCGTCTCAAAAAACAACAGCAGCAAAATAAATAAGTGGGAGGAGAAAGCTGAGCATAGTGGTGTACACCTGTAATACCAATACTCAGTAGGCAGAGGCAGGGGGATCAAGGGTGTGTGAGGCCAGCCTCAGCAACATAGAGAGGTTCTGTTTCTAAGAAGGAGGAAAGCCAGACACAGTAGTGTAACCCCAACTCCAGGAAACCTGACACTCTACTCTGGCGTCTGCAGGCACCTGCACACATGTACACACACACACACACACACATACACATAAATAAAATAATGAGGTCTCTACCTCTGTGTGAAAACATAAAGACATGAGGTCCTTTATCTACAACAAAGCTTTGTCGAGTCATCCTTGTCACTAGGCACATGAGCTGGACACAGACACACATGCATCCCCCACAAAACCATCCCAGGCCATGGGCACCTACTGCAAGGATTCAGGAGCTGTGCAGAGGTGCAAGGGGGTCATACCGTCCTCAGATTGCACATTAGCCTTAGCACCAAATGTGAGCAGCAGCCGAACACAGTCAGGTTGGGCTTGGGCACAGGCCTCGTGCAAGGCAGCATGACCTCCAATCCGGGCATCGAGATCAGCCCCCTGAAGGATAAGGTGCCGGGCACAGTCTATGTAGCCTCTGGCCACAGCGATGGTAAGAGGTGCTGTGTGCTTGGTCTTTGGAGTCAGCACCCAGAATCCTGAGGAGAACAGGCAGTACTGTAGGACTTTGTATGGGGAAGGAGGATGGAGAAACTGTCTTTGGATGACAGTGAACTCTGGCCTTCCCTGGCTCTAGTTCACTGAGCACCAATGGCCATGCTGTAACTGTGGCTAGGGGTTCACTCAAATCCTGAATTAGGAGTACACATTGGAAGAGCCTTTTTAAACACCTTGTCAGTCCACACTCCTCAGCACTGGAAAACAAGGCAGAAAATTTTACATAGTATATGTCAGAAAAGTTGATTAAAACCACAAAGGTGGCCGGAAAGCCATGGCACACGCCTTTAATCCCAGCACTCAGGAGGCAGAGGCAGGTGAATCTACAGAGTGAGTTCCAGGGCAGCCAGGGATGTTGCACAAAGGAAACCCTGTCTTGAATAAGGCAAAACAGGGGCTAGAGTGATGGCTCAGAGGTTAAGAGCACTGCCTGTTCCTCCAGAGGTCCTGAGTTCAATTCCCAACACCATATGGTGACCATCTGTAATCAGATCTGGTGCCCTCTTCTGGCCTGCAGAGGTGCATAACTTAAAAAAAAAAAAAAAAAAAAAACCACAAAGGCAGAAGAGAGCAAATGTGCAAATCCTTAGGAATTTCAGGGTCTTTGACCCTTTGTTCTTATCTGAATTTGGAGCTGGTAACTATGCACAGGAGCTGGTAACTATGCATAGGAGCTTGGAAGTGACTACAGAATAAAAAGAGAAGCTTGGTGATAACACTGGTCCTTTCCTGGAAAGAACTGGCCTGACTAGTCAAGAACTTAAAGGATACAGGTGTGTCTATTGAAGTACCCTGTTGGCATGGCTGGGAAGTAAGGTCACTGTTTCACTGGATCTTGGGTGAAGCATAATTTCTTTTCTTTCTTTCTTTCTTTTTTTTTTTTTTTTTTTTTTTTTTTGAAGCATAATTTCTTACTGAAAATTGGGATTTAATCTCTGTTAAGTATTTGGTTAGCTCAGTCAAACTTGCTAAGGTGGGAGACACCCTAGAAAATTTCTGTCAAGCACATAAAGGTCATCATACTGCAACTCAAAACAGCAAAGGGACTTGCCTATGTGTGGGCTCTTAATACCATAATCAATCAATCAACAATCAAAATGCAAAAAAATCAAAAAGGGAAAAGGGGGCTGGAGAGATTTCTCAGTGGTTAAGAGCCCTGGCTGCTCTTTCAGGACTGGTGTTCAATTCCCAGCACCCACATGGCAGCTCACAACAGTCTATAGCTCTAGTTCCAGGAAATTCTGTGGGTATCAGGCACAAACATAATGAGCAGACTTACATGCAGTCAAGTCACCCATATACATAAAATGAAAATGTAATTTAAATGCTGGGTGATGGTGGCACGTGCCTTTAATTTAAACCAGAGGTAGGTGGATCTCTGTTCTCTGTGCATTAGAGGCAAGCCTGGTCTACAGAGCAACTTCCAGGACAGCCAGGGCTATTACACAGAGGTGCTCTTATGTACCCTGCTCTTGCATGTGAGAATTACAGGTTTGAGGCCTTTGATGTGCTAGTCAGGTATTCTACCTAGCTAACACTGAAGTTTTTTTTTGTTGTTTGTTTGTTTTTGTTGTTGTTTTTTTGTTTCTGAGACAGGATTTCTCACAGAAATCCACCTGCCTCTGCCTCCTGAGTGCTGGGATTATGGCGTACACCACCACTGCCTGGTCACTGAAGAATTTTTACAGCTGAAAAATAAACCATTTGCATGTTAGAAAGGCAAAGAGTCTCAACAATTAAAACAAAAAATTAAGAAGGGACCCAAATTCACCATTCCATTTGGAGAATAGTTATATAAATCCTGGTACATCTATGTGCAGCTTTTGAGTATTTTGTGGACTTAAGGTTACTGACATGGAAGATGTTACATGAAAATAAAAATCAGCTTACACTATTGTATGTGTCCAGGTATGGTGGTGTATAAATACAATCCTGTCACTCAGGAGCATGAGACAGAAAGATCCCACGTTCCAGGCCAGCCTGGGCCATATAGAGACATCCTGTTTCTAAAAAAATGACAATGACAAATTGAAGAGGACCTGATGGGGCAAGCACATAGTCCCAGTTACTCCAAAGGCTGAGACAGAAGGGTCACAAGTTCAAAATCTGCCTGGGCTGTGGAGTGAGTTGAAAACCAACCTGGGTTACTTAGCAAGACTCTGTGTCAAAATGTAAAAAGCTGTGGGTTGGAGCACAGAAGCAAAGACAGTGCTTATTAGCACTCAAACTATGGTTCAGTCCTACCACCCCAAAATAAAACTAGACTGGCGAGATGGTTCAGCAGGAGGTACGTGGGTCTTCTCCCTACCCCCAACTTCAAGAAGTAAAAAATTTGCATATGGATTTCATAAAAATTATCTTCTATAGGAGAAAAACCATAGGAAAAACATGAACATACATATTTATATATATTGTATATTCTATATATGTATATTCTTTATATATACATATATATATCAGAAACATGAGAATTTCTATATAACCAATATAGTACATACAATTGTTTGTTAAACATTTATAATCTGTGTATGTGTTATATAACATAACTTTTGGAGGCTGGGTGTGGTGGTGCAAGCCTTTAATCCCAGCATTCAGGAGACAGAAGTGGGTGGATCTCTATGAGTTAAAGGCCAGCCTGATCTGCGTAGTGAGTCCCAGCCAGACCAGCCAAGTACACAGTGAGACCCTGTCTCACAACCACAAAAAACCAAACCCACACTTTGCCTCAACTGTTTAGGAAGGAGCTAATATGGGTGGTTACGATGGGCAGCCCACTCCAGGGTCTTTAGGGAGAAGTAGGGTCTGGGCTCTTCCCTTCCCCACACCCACACCTGCCCCCACGCTTCTCCCCTTTCTGCCTCCTAGGTGGTACTCCTTACCCTGCTCTGCTGACCAGGCCAGCTGGTTGCTCACAGTCTCCACAATCATGTTGGCGGTCTCTTCATCTTGGAAGAGGATTTGAATCTGCTGTAGGTCCCCAGAGAACAGGGCATTGTGGACAGCTGGGTCTCGGCAGGAGCGGCGGCTCCTGGTGAGTCGAGCCTGGGGACTAGAGCGGAACCTCTGGCTTTGACATCTATGAGCAGCAGCCCGCCTCCTGTCCTCCCATTCCAGCCACTCTCTCTGTAAGCGGAGAGCACGCTTTGTGGAAGATGTGAAAGGGAAGGTTTCCCCTGCCATGGCGGGTTCAGGGGTCTGGGCAGTGCCACCTAGATGGAGGATTGTTCCTTGTCCCAGCTAGCACCCTTGCTCTGGGGAGCCACCCTGCCCCCGTCCTGGTAAACTGGAGAAGCAGCTGAGACTATAAATAGGCCCCTCACTGCATTAGTAAACAGTTTGCCTAGAGTCATGATCCTAAAGCAGAATATTGGGCGAGCCTCTGCCCTTACTGGTACCCTCCCATTGGTCAGCAGGTCCTCAGTCAAGGTCACTCCTGGACCCCACTTCTCTGACGTGAGCCCAGGGAACCACTCTTGCTATTCCGAAATAACTGCAAGGGCTGCAAGCAGGTACTGCACTTTGTAGAAGTTCAGGCACGCTCACAGCCGCCTCTACTCAGATGACCACAGCCAATGAGCCAATACAAAGATCTGCTCAGTAAATGAGATCACCTGAGATGGTGATTTTACAGACTTAGGGAACTTAAGTCTTTTTTTTTGGGGGGGGGGCATGTGCAAGGGGCCATGGTGTTCCATGCCTTTAATCTCAGCACTTGGGAGGCAGAGGCAGATGGATCCCTTCGAGTTCAAGGCCAACATGGTCTGCAGAGTGAGTTCCAGGGCAGGTTCAGAGAAACCCTGTCTTGAAAAACCAAAAAAAAAAAAAAAAAAAAAGGAACTTAAGTCTTAAAGTAAAATTACCAATTACCAGCTCAAGATCACATAGCTTGTGAGGGCAGGGCAAGGAATGAGACTTTAATTTGACTCCAGGGGCTACTACCATGTGGGGTAGATAGGCAGGCAAGCCTTTCCTGTCTCCACATGCCCAAGCAGGACATAGGCTCCACTTTCAATGACTAGTTTTTTCCTCCCAGGTTCTAAGAGGACTCACATGCCTCCTGTGGTGTGCCAGGGGGTTGACCTTGGAACTGGGCACTTTCAGATTGTGCACCCATTCACCCTATTGAGGAAGTGGCTGTGCTTCCAGGAGCCTCTAGGGGGGGAATGAGGCTGTGAAGGCACACCAGCGGGCCTGACTGGTAGAGCAAGGTGGGGTGGGGGCGAGCACGGGATGGGATGTCAGCCGGCATCTGCCTCCTGTCTCAGCAAAGCTCCTTGTGCCTGCTCCCACCCTGACTTTCCAGCATCCTCCCCCTCCTCCGAGTCTCTCACTTCCTTCTGGCCACAGTCTCTTCCACATTCTGTCACCAGCTTCAGTTCAGGTCCCCAAAGCCTTCAACCTGCATCAAGCCAGCCTGTGAGTGTCTCTTTCTCGAATCACATGGCCCTCTGCTGCCTGCCAGAGTCACCTGTCCAGAAAGGTCACTTTCCTTGAAAACTTTGCAGTCTGGCTCAGGTCTTCCATGGAAGTCCCAATTCCCTGCTCTGGCCTCACACCACCGGGCATTCTCACCATGCTCTTGCCCTTCCCCACTGTCCCAGTGGCTTGGAATCTCCTACTCACTCATCCAAGGCAACCTGCTGTGTAGAGACAGTCCTGCAGTGACAGCTACTCAACTTTCAAGAACACTGGGTGGGCTTAGCAGAGTCCACATGCCATAGTGCTGCAGACATCACTCTCCCATGCTGGATTTGGGCTCCAGGCAGGCCGTGGCATGGTCAGTCTTACACAGGGTTTAGGAGCACCTGGCTCATGGCAGGCTGGCCCCTCCTGAACATCGAATGAAGGTCCCCATTCTCTGCCAGAGCAAACGCTCCTCTGTCTGCCCAGGTGGGTGGCAGCAACGTGGGCTGCTTCCGGCATCGCCCTCACCCTCTCTCTGCTCAATCATTCTATGCTTGGCCCCCAGCTTGCTGGCAACGTTCCAGGGTGGGGGATCCCAGGAGAGGAATGAGATCATGCCCAGGGAGGGTTTGAAGGTCCTCCTCAGAGAAAGGCACCTCTATGGATGCAGCTGTGATTAACCCTACTGGAAGCCATACAGTATTTTAATTGCCCTGCTGATGGCCTGGCTGAGCACCCACAGCTGAGTTCCCAGGGTTGGGAGTCTGGCAAAGCAAGGTGGGGCCAAGAAGGGCCAAAGTGGTGGGTGTCCCTTTACTCCCTAAGGCATACAGCAGTCATAGCCTGACCTCTGCCTGCCTTCTTGCCTCACAGGCCTGAAAGTGCTGACTGTAGCTCTGTCCCCCAGAGATACCAGTGTAGCTTCTGAGGCAGAGAAAGGAGGCCTGCCTGTGGGTCCACAGGAGGCCAGAAGTTGAACTGGAAGGAACAGTGCCAGGGGATTTGATGATCAGTCTGCTCCCTGGGAATTTAGTCTGGGGAACAATGAATCACCTAAGAAACTAGGATCTGAAACAGTTTGGGCTTAGTTGAGATTGGACTGGTGGTGGTGGGGTGATCAGGGCTCAGAGGTGTCCTAGTGCAAACACAAGGTAGTTTGGTTGACGCCGCCACCTAGATGGGCCTGGCCCAGGTCTAATCTAGAAGCAGGGTTAGGCATTAGTAGCAGGCAGAAAAGGGGAAATGTGAAAGTACAAGGCGCTGGGAGACAAGCCTGGGCTGCCCTGGCCTACAGCACAATAGCCTTTTGAAGGAAGCTTCCCTAAAGCCAGCAGCTGCTCACAGTCCCGTCCATGACTACATTCATGGGTCAGTCTCTCAGAGCAGTGCGTGGAGGCTTCACTCTTAGGCGCTCAGTGACAGCTGAGGTGGGGAGGGGGCTGCCAGTCAAACAAACCTCTTCAACCTGCTTCCTCTCTGCCCCTCGTTCTGGGAAGGGTAATGGGTTGGCAGCTTGAATGCTGGGACCTTTTCTGTCCCAGCCAGGCGCTTGTCAATTGTGGTCTAAAAGATGGCGCTGAGGAGAGTACTGAAGTTGCTGTGCCACAAAACAGATGAAGCTGCATCAGATTACAGCTCAAAGGATAACATAAAAGCCTGGGGCCATGGTAATATAAATGGATGCATAGGTGAAGGCCATGACAACCACCCAAAACTCATCCTCAATGACACGAGACCTTCCGCCCTTAGGAGAACACACTCCCTAATGCTCGAGTGGCTGTACACCTGTCAAACAGTACAGAGTAGAGAGGAGACATTTTACAGACATGTCTTCAGTTAGGTGACCTAGGCCCACAGATAGATACCCAGTTAAGATGGGAGACGCTGGGCCTGATGGTACAAGACTGGAGTTCTAGGTAACTGGAGGTGGGGGCAGGAGGATTGCCAAGTTCAAGGCCAGAAATTTAGTGAGATCCTGCCTCAAAATAAAGATAAACAAGTAAACAAACAAAAGGAGCTGGGCAGTAGTGGTGCAACCCTTTAATCCTGGCACTCAAGAGGCAGAGGCAGGTGGATCTGTATGCGTTCAAGGCCAGCCTGACCACAGCCACTTGTAACTCTAGCCCCAAGGGGTCTAAAGTCGTTTTCTGGCCTCCAAGAGCAGTAGGCATACAGATGGTACAGACATATGCAGGCAAAAACACTCACATACATTAAAAAAAAAAAAAAAAAAGGCAAAGAGGGAGAAAGTGTATATATACGCGCACGTGTGTGTGCACACGTATACACACACACACACACACACACACACACACACACACACACACACACACACGGAGTGAATGCTCCTTGCTCTGCCTTGCTGTCCACCTGCCAGAGCCTGACTGCCTTGGCCAGCAGAGAATGGAGTAGGTGTGGGACGGAGGGGTGGCTGCTTTTTTTCGGAACCAGGTACAATAGCTTGTCTGTACTCCACCATCATCCTTGGTCACTTTTGCTGTGGTTGTGGCTCCTCTAGGCTCCTTAGCTGTCAGGGGACTGAGGAATAAAGGGACAAGGAAACCAGGCCCAACATCTCTAAAGTTGAGGTCACACTTTTCCTGTTGGCTGGAGGACAATGCGCCACAGGGCTCCAAGACCAGGGAGGCTGGAGAGCTAGGCTTGCTCAGATTTCCAGGATGCCCACGCCAGAGGAGACTGTCAGGCAACACCAGCACAGTCTGGTCCATCACTTGGGGGCTTGGGGAAGGGAACCGTGAGGAGGCATCAGACCATGAGCCTATCTGGTCTCCAGCTGCACTGGCTTTCTCTCCCTCGGATGTGACCAGAGGCACCTGGTGCTTGTATGGGGGCAGAGACTGCCAGCTCATGGTGGATGTCCTGTCTTGAGACAGTCTCAACTGCTGGGATCACAGAAGAAGTCCTCAGGGAGCTCACTCAGAAGTCCATCCAGATCATCTGCAGAGGAAAGTGGACAGGAGTAGACTCAGTGACAACCACAGAATTCCACAGAAGTCAGATCTGAGTCCCTGCCCTTTAGGAGGACCTTGAGCCGGCCACACATCCAGAAAGGTGGCGGCTCTGGGGCAGTATGCCCATGCCAATGGGTGTGAGACTGACATGTCTCCCTATAAACATATGCGCAACAGATGGCAAGATGCAATCCCTGGGCCATTTTAGTAGGAATGGGTATCCCCAAGCTTCAGTGGCTTCTTTCCCTTCTATCCAGAGGCAGTGTTGAGCAGGAAGGATTTGGAGGTTTCTTATTGCAGCTTTCTTTGTCAGATGAGGGGCATATGTTGGGAATGACAAGTTTATCAGCCTCGGCTCTCAGCTGACAGTGGGATGAGCATCCCAATCCGAGTGCCTGGGTGGACACGAAGAATCAAAGGCACAGCGGCGCAGCCTTTAATCCCAGCACTCGGGAGGCAGAGGCAGGTGGATCTCTGTGAGTTTAAGACCAGCCTGGTCTACATAGAAAGTTCCTGGACAGCCAGAGTTAAGAGAGTTATAGAGAGAAACTTTGTCTTGGGGGGATATGTGTGATCATCCTGGGCTGGCAAAATGGCCAGCAGGTACTTCCAGAACCGATATAGTAGAGGACTGATTCCCATGAGCTGTCCTCTGACCTTCACACATGCCTGCCTTTCCAATAGAGAGAATGAAAAGGGAAAGAGAGGAAGCAGCCCTGACCAATGCTGTCAGATGTGGTGCTTACTGGAAGCTGGAGATGCCACTAACATTGGTAATCCCGAAGTCACACTCACTGCAGGCTCATTCCACCTCAACAACCCTTCTCGGGCGGCTCAGGGTGGTTGCTGGGATAAAACCCACTTTCCTGAGAGAGCGAACTCTAAAGAGGTGCAGTGACTTGCCCAGAGTGAGCCTACTCAAGCTCTACCTGTTGCCACTTCCGGGACAGGATGGGGGTCCCGGAAGGCAGAATGTAAACCACACCCAAGAGCACAGCTCCAGGTCTGGCAAGAGCACTCAGTAGCGGCCACTGCAAGGAAAAGGAGAAGGGAGATCAGGGAGCACTCAAAGTTTAATTAGGGTGACTAGCACTGTATTCAGGGCAGGTGGGGCTATTATTTGCTTACAGCAAGGAAAAAGTTGCCCAATGGGCTGGGCATGGCAGTGCTTGCCTTTAACGCCAGCACTTGGAGGCTAAGGCTAAAACTCTGCTGTGAGTCTGACGCCAGCTTGTGCTGTATGGTGAGCACCTGGCCAGCTAGGACTACGTAGCTGGAGAAAACCATCCGGGTGAAGGGAAGGAGCAGGGTGAAGGATAGGATCTCGGAAACGGCAGGAATTGCATGTCTGAATTCAGCCCTGTAGAGTGGCACAACATGACATGAACACCCTGTTCCATAGCCAACTCTCCTCACTGGCTCTGTGACCACCAGCAGCTTCTTCAGACAGCAATGGGGTCAGCAGCAGGCCCAGTCACAAGGAGAGAGTACAGGATCCCAGACAACACAAAACCACAGCATAAGGGGCAAAGTCCCCTGCGTTGGATCTAAACAAACGGGCTTTATGGTTTACATATTGGTATATTGTGAATGTAGTTAGTGTGAGACCACTACCCACAATCCTCCTGCCTCCAGGACAGGCAGGATTGAATTTCTGAAACTGAAAGCTAAGGAGTGATTGGGACATGATGTCTCCACCTGAGGGTAGCTCCAACTGAGCCTCTCAGGCTTGTGTCCCCTTCCCCCTGGCCACATGGGTATGTGACTCCTTGGCACTCCTTGGGGATCCTGAGTGCAGGGTAGGAAATCTGCTTCCACGATCTGTTCATGAGGACTTGACATAGGACAAAGAGCCATGCACCCAGGGGCTGGCGATGCTCCCTTCTGCAGCTAAAGGTATTGCCAGCACATGGGGGAGCTATGGACTACATTTTGTGTGCTTTACATGGCTTCTGCTACACTGTTGCAAGAGTGTAACAGCTCTTAACAAGGCCCGCAGCCTTGCTGAACAAGACATCCTGCAATTTCTGAAAAATTCTGCTCCAGTTCACAGACGTACAGCAGGAGGTATACGGTGCAGCTGCAGAGAAGCACTCTCTCTGGGAGTGAGGCCAGGGGGTGCTGAGGGGCTATGTGCCTTACCTGCCTCTGGGAGCTCTTCCTCAGAAGACACCACTGGGCTCTGTGCCGTTCTGAGGCCCTGTGCAGGCTCTGCAGTTACATCAGGCTGGAGGTTTCCATGGAAGCTTCCTAGATCCTGAGGACAGCCGATCTGGTTACCAGTGTTCAATGCCCCTGAAGTCCCTGGGGTGGGGGTGCCTCTGCCCAAATGACCTCAAAGGGAGGGCCTCTCAGGACAAAGACAGGATAGGGGAATTGGGTGTGTGTGTGGGGGGGGGGGCAGGATCACTCAGGCCCAAGCTGAGGGAGAGAGATGAAACAGAAAACACCCAAAACAGCAGACAACTAAGCAAAGACAGATTTTTGGGCTGATCTTTTCAATTTCTGTCAGTGTCTAATGTTTTAGGCCACAGAAGGTAAAGAGGAGCTAGCCTGGGATTAAAAATAAGCTGTTATCAGGGCTAGAGAAGATGCATTTAAGAGCACACATTGTTCTTCTAGAGGATCCAGGTTCGATTCCCAGCACCTGAATGATGGTTCACAACCATCTTTAACTCTAGTTTCAGGAGATCCAATGCACTCTTCTGGCTTCCACAAGCACCAAGCACACACATAGTACACAGTACACATAAATACGTGCAGGCAAACACAACACTCACACATAAAATAAATAAATCTTAAAAAAAAAAAAAAACAAAAAAAGAAACCCTATACTCACACAAAAGGACAAATTTTCAAGAAAAATGAAGGTTATAGAGGTGGGGTAACTGTAAGGGCATATGAAGGGGTCCATGGAAAAAGAGTAAATATTAGTAGAAAATAAGATAAAGGTCTACAGTGACTGGAGGTCATCAAGTCAAACACTTGTTCTATAGATAGTGTAAAAGCAGGGGAAGGGACAGGGCTTGTTGCCCAAGGTCACAGTAGAAATTATTAGCAGAACTTGGACAAGACCCAGGTCTCCTGCCCTCCTCCAGGCCAGGATCCTAAGGGTGGAGACAGCAAGATCCAGCCTGGGTAGACCTGCCTGAGCTATCTTCAGCTCCCACACACAAATGTTTGCCTCTGTTCCTGAAGGGTGCGCTCCAGTGTATGCCTAGAGAAGGCAGAGACCAGGAGGGAGGTCTCAGAGCAGGGACCAGCTCACCTGACCGGCCATGTGTTGCACCTGGCACAGATTTGACACTCTATTCTTTTCTGCCACCACCCCCAGGAGGCCCTTGCCTGGTTCTCAAGTGACTCCTAACTTCTCAGATGATCAAGTCTGCCATCAGACATTCAGGGTTCACCAGGAAGCCAGCTGCTCTGGTAGGTACTGTTACTCAGCCGGATGGCAGGCGGCTGGAGCAGGGGCAGCGGAGACTCCTGTTTCCAAAGGCATCTCTTCACCTCAGTGGACCTGCCCCTTCACACCTTTGCCTCCAGGGATGAGGAGAGGAAGAACTGAGAGAAACCAGGCGGGAAAGCCCTGCCAGTCACCGGCTAGCCTAACCCACTTACCTTGGGCAAGGGCTGAGGTGGCTTGAGGAAGTCCCCGTCCCCGTCCCCAGAATCTAGACTGTAAATATGGACCAGGTTGTTGGGTGTCACGTTGAGGTAGTGGTTTCTGAGTGAAGGAGAGAACACTCCAATCTGGAGTTAGGAAGGGGAGTCAGTAGAGGGAGCATGGCGCTGCTGGGTGACCTTCAGGAGCCAGCTTTCCCTTGGCTCCTTGTCCTCTGCACCAAACTCACACACACACTCCTGCCTTAGCCTTGGTGCCATAACAGAGCCACTTACCACCCCCAAACCCCCAAATACAACTCTTTATCCCCATTTACCCTTGATGAGTGGAGCAGTCTACTGGCCAAAGGCTTGCTCTCAGCCCCAGCAAACCAGGGCCTTGATTCTCCATGGTTGGTAGTGGAAGGCAGCCAGCCAAGCAGGACACCCTGGGGCTCCTCCCCACAGCAGGTCTGTTCTGAAGCCCCCCTACCTGCTTCAGCAACAGCACTGAGCCAGGCTTCAGCTCATTCTGGTGTGTCTCCAGAAGTACCCTATGCACTGTCCCAAGCATCTCTCCTGCAAAAACCACATGGCCTCTGTCTCAGGGTCAAGGCTACAGAAAAGGATCTGAGTTCTGGCTGGGGAGTGGGCTGTTCATCTCTGTCTCTTGATGTCAGTGGAGGTCACTCCTTACCTGTGGGGTCCTTAAAAACCACACTGGCGTCCATTGTGCTCCGAGTCAGGGACTTGATCATCACTGCCATGTTGGGGACCTTGTTCCTGGGGAGCTGCTTGAGGGCTGCCTGCTTACAAGGAGACACATTTACTGAGCTAAGCATGCCCACATGTAACTCCCCATGGCAACCAGGGGGCGGTAACAGCTTTCCTTTGTGGCAGGCCAAGGCAGGTGGAAGGGCACATTTCTGCCTCCCGTAGAGGCTGAAGCTGGCAGGTCTTTCTCTTTCTCTTAGGTGTCTTTCCCTTTGTATGGGTTTTTGTGGCTCACTCCATCATGGCAGGCCACACATACCAACACGCATCTGTACATGAGAGACCCGTAGGCGCTCTCAGGGTGGCAATGCGCTTCATCTCTCTCTCAATCTGGCACCGGAAGTGGAAGTGAAGAGGTATACCCAACATGAGCTCAGATGACGGTGCAAACACGCAACCAAAGGGACTTGAGGCTGCCCTCCAGGGACAGGGCTGGGCTGAGATGGCAAGCAGCCTCTTCCGAAGGCAGAGCAGACAGCAGTCTCCGTCCTCTAGACCCTTACCTTGCGCAGCACCATGACAATACTGTAGGTATACAGGAAGCAGGTGGGGTCTCGATCATCCAGGCCCAGAGCAGATTTCATGGTGAGCCAGGGCCCGCGCCCAAAATCTTCTTCCACTGATCCCTGGGAACTAGTAACAATCTGGAACCACAGAGCAGAGGGGACCCTGCATGAGTGAGTGGGTCTACCTTGGGAAAGACACTTGACTGAGGCAGGGCAGATGGAGAGAGAGAGATAGTGAGCTCCTGGGGTGAGGGTGGGGGTGGGGGCTGAGGTGGGGAGGGACGCCTCTCAATACTGTAATGACCAGAAAGTGGCATGTGACCTGGCTGCACCCTGCTTCTTTTTGCTTTTGTGGTTTTTTTGTTTTTGTTTTTTTTTTTTTTTCCCCTTTTTGTTCTTCAAGACAGGTTTTTCTCTATGTAGTTGTCCTGGAACTCACTCTGTAGACCAGGCTGGCCTTAAACTTGGAGCCCCACCTGTCTCTGCCTCCCAAGTGCTGGGATTAAAGGTAGGCACCACCACTCCAGGCAATGTCCTGGTTTTAACCATTAGTTGCCTTGTATCAGCAGCTGCTTTAAGTCCAGATGCTTACTACCAGGTTTGCATCCTAAGTGAACAGGCAACCCTGGGGAGCTGCAGCAAAAAGCAACACTGGGAGGATTAAAAGCAAAGGTGGGCCTGAAGATAGAGGAAGTCACTTAGAGCTCCAGGAGGGAGGGAGGCTGGTCCTACCCACTGAAAGGGAAGCTCATGGAGACAAGATGAAGGCCGATCCTTCCCAGCTCAGCTCCCAGAAACCCGAGAGGGTTCCCAAGATACCATCTCATAAGCCTTATTACGATTTCCTCCCTAGGGAAAGATGCAGCCGGCTGGATCTGTAGCTGTCAGATGGAAGAGAAGGTTGAGCCATGGCTGTAAAACTGCCGCCTCCCCCACCTGTTCCCAGCTGCCCTCTGGTGTCTAGCAGCATCAACTGAGGCATGCTTATTCTTACTTATGTTTAGCCTGCATGCGTGCCTGTGTGAGTGTGTCAGGTCTTGGAGGTACAGACAGTTGTGAGCTGCCATGTGGGAATCCTCTGGAAAAGCAGTCAGTGCTCTTAACCTCTCCAACCCCACCTCTCACTTTTAAGCAATGCCCAAGAAGAGATTTACATAGAAGAAGTTACCTCAGTCTGGAATTTAGCTAGAGCACCATGAGTCGGAGTCTGGGGTGTGGAAACCATGATCTCCTCCAAATTCTTCCCGCTGTGCTAAGAGGGGAAGAGAAGGTGAGAGCAAGCTCAGCAGCTGTTATTTACAAGTACAGCGCCTTGTCTGGGGTTACATAATGAGTTCAGGAAACTATCAGGGACAATTAGCACATAGTACATTGCTCCTAATGCAGTCTCAAGAGCCTCATTGGTAGCTAAAAAAGATACTTTGGGGATCAGTTTGGGAATATAAGGAAACTGGAGCTGGCTCAGAAGCAAGGCCCAGAGCTGCCTGAAGGGGGCAGTGACCCAAATAGAGGGGTCTGTGAGGAGTTACTGAGCAGCTCTCCCAGAGGCCCTTCTAGGAGAAAGCGCAGACCATCCCCCTCGGGTTTCTCCTGAAGCGCCAGCAAGAGCAAGTGACAACAGGTGTCAATCCTGGCACCAGGAAGATACCTATTGTAACCAGAGCAAAGCTTCAGTGCCCAGTTACCTGGCATCTAACTCAAAACTAGTTGGAGGGACCTTATCCCTTCACTGCCTCTTACATATAACCCCCGTGGGGCTGCCTCACTTCCAACCCCAAGCTTCCCCAGCCCCCCCATGCCCTGCCCCGTCCCGCCCCGCCCCATCAAAGTGCTCTGTGATCCATCCCTAAGAGCACCTGCTCTTCAGCCTGTCTTCTCACTGCTGGACCAACCCAAAGCGCAGTCCCCATCCTCCCCGCTATCCTAGCCATCTACCCAAAGCCACTGAGCAGGGCCAAGGCAGAGCCAGTGTGTCCCCAGGGGCCAAGGAAGGGCCCTACTCTCACAGTACCCTTTGTGCATGACCACTCACCCCCACCTACTTTTTCCACCGCACTGCAAGTTTATTCTCTGTGCCAAATAAATTGCCCAATATCTACCTCTTAGCTGATATCGGTGAGAAAATACCCCTGTCTAGGGCTAGCAAACAGACACAAAAACTAGGAAATGTGCCTCTCAAGTGCTCTTCCTGTCCACTTTTTTTTTTTTTTTTTCCCCTTTAAGGAAAGGTTTACTTTGGCTTACAGGGGACACTGATCATGTCAGGGAACTCAAGTGGCAAGAGCCTGAGGCAGCCTGTCTCACACCACTTCCGTTTGTATTCAGTCCAGGACCCCAGCCCATGGAATGGAGCATCCCACAATTAAGGTGGCCCTTCCCACCTGCACTAATCTAAGTGAGGAAGTCCCTTATAGGCAAGCCACTCCCCACCCCTTCAGTGCTGGGGTTGGAGCTCAGGGCTTGTGCCTGCTAGGTGTGTGCTCTACCCCCAGCCACTCCCTTCTTCCCTCCCACTTCTGACTTGTACAGCTTTGCAAACCTTATTTTTTACATATGTATGTGTGCATAAGTACACATGTACACATATGTGGATGCTAGAGGACAACCTCAGAAGTACTCCTTGGAAGGCCCCAAGCACTTTTTACCCTGTTTTTTACTTTTCAGAAGTATTTGTTATTTTACTGTATGGCTATTTTTGGGGCATAAACATATGTGTCTGGTGTTCACAGAGGTCAAAGGGTGTCACCTTCCAGGGACTGGAGTTACAGACAGCTGTGAACCACCATGTGCAGGTTGGAAACTGAACTCAGGTCCCCTGTAAGAGCAACAAGTACTCTTAACCTCTGAGCCATCTCTCCACCCCCTACTTTGTTTTGTATTTGTCTTTTCGAGACAGGGTTTCTCTGTAGCTTCGGAGGCTGGCCTAGAACTCACTCAGTAGACCAGGTTGGCCTTAAACTCACAGGGATCGGCCTGTCACTGCCTCGCCTGAGTGCTGAGACTAAAGGCGGGCACCACCACCGCCCAGCCTTACTGTTTTGTGAGGCATGGTCTTTCACTGTCTTAGAGCTTCCCCCAGAAAGCTAGGCTGCTTGGTCAGTGAACCCCAGGAATCATTTCATCCCCCCCACCAGAGTTAGGATAACAAGCATGTGCCTCCACCCCCAGTTTTGTGTTTCACATGGGTTCCACAGCTCATGCTTGCACGGTGCACTGTGCCTAATGAGTCATCTCTCCAGCCCTTACAAATGCCTTCTTCCCACTTCTTTTGCCTGTCATGAAGATAATCTAAGAATGGACCACCGTTTCTTCCCCTGGATCCTAGTGTCCTGGAAAACTGGTCACTCACCTGGTGGGGCAAAAGTCCTGCTGGGCCAGGGAAGCGGCGGGTTTTAGCTCGAATGGAGGGGCGGGAGGGCTGCTGGGGTGTCCGGTTGGTAGCAGTGACAAGCTGAACCAGGTGGTTGGTGACTATAGGTGTCTGCAGAGCTGGCTGAGGAACTGGGGTGGAAGCGCCTCTGGGGGTGCTGACCAGAGATTCAACAGAAGACACTGGGGGACGGGATGGCAAGGGTCCCCGAGGAAATGCTGCAGAGCTGCAGCGGGGGAATCGAGGTCCAGGAAAACTGGGCATGCCACTTGACCAAGCTCTGGGAGACTGACATGGCTGACCAGGCAAATGATTCTGCGGGATGCTCCCAGCTACTTGGAAAGGCTGAGGTGCAGGAACAGGGGGGTCTCTTTGACGGGAAACTGCTGAGGCAGATGGGAGAAGAAGGCTGCCTTTAGCTCCAGGTCTTGAGGAAGGCCCTGGATTCCTACAGCGGACAACGGGCCCCTTCTGGAAAGATCCATTCCAGTCAGCCACTCTGGCCCTTTTTGCCAATACTGGATCCTCACGGCGCTGCACAGGCAGGATTTGGGCGGTCCCACTGTCAATTCCAAGTTCCAGCTCCAAGCCAGCTCCCTCCAGCTCCATGCTTGCCAGGGCCTTGTCAAACTCATCTTGATCGGGTGCCTCAAAGCCACCAATGCCCTGCTGATGGCTCCCAAAGATAAAGCCAGAGTGTGCGGCCGAGGACTGGGGTCCAGATGACTCCTGGAGCGCTCCTGTTAGTGCCGTTCTTTGCTGACTGCCTGTGCTGCTGCTAGAGATCGAGACAGGTCTTAGGGACACTGCTCCTGAACAGAATGGATCCCTGATGGTCTGGGGTTTGCTGGGAGTAGGGAGACAGAGTCCTGGGACAGGCCGGCTGGAAGAAGTGGGGTATGATCGCAACGGTTTTGAGGATCCTGGCTGCAGAGTCTCCTGTGGCCTGGAAGAAACAGGCATCAGGTGGCCAGCATTCCCAGGTAGTACACCAGAGAAATGGTTCTCTGCATTCTCCACAGCAGATAAGAAGTCCTACAAACAAACAGGAGAAAGTGGGCCTTGCATCAGTGTTTTGCTTTTGAGACAGTATCTCACATAGCTCAGACTGGCCTTGTTGAGCTTGCTATGTAGCTCAGGATGACCTTGAACTCCCCACTCTCTACCTCCACCTCCTGAGTTAAGGTTTTACAGGCCAGTGCTACCACATTTGTCAGGGTCTTTCCATCTGGGAATTTAAAACTGCTTCCAAAAAAATAAATTCATAAAAACAAAACATTCTACTTTTTTCGTTTAAGCATATAGTATGTATGTGTGCAGGTACACACACAAGCAAGAAACCAAGATATGAAGGCAACGATGGCACTTCTCACTACTTATGATGCCCCTATGAGCCAGTGGGCCACCAGGCTTATGGCAGAAGCAGTCCAAGGTTAGATTTTTCAGAGAGTACTGTCCAAGAGGAGGTTTACTGGGAAAGCAGCAGGAAACGCATTCCAGGGTACCAGGAAGCCTAAGGCACCCCACAAGGTCACAAACTCATCTGAAAGAGACGGGCTAGTGTTCAGTCAGGACAGTGGGGAGCGACCCTGTCGGCCATGCATTCCCTACCTCCTTAGCTCCACCATGCACACTCACACACACAGTCTTCAGTAAGACCGAAAGCCCCTGGATCCAGCCAAAGACAGCAGTTAAATATAGCTCCCCAGGCAAGTTAAATTAAGTATGGATTGCATTTGGGAAGCAAGGTGAGATTGACACCTTCAAGAGCAACAGACCTGTTCTGAGGGTGTTTTGAGTCAGAACTGCTGATTAAGTGACAGGAAGGTGCTATCCACCCCCAGCCCCTGCTGCTGCTCTGGAGTGTCTGGGCTAGAGAGAGGTTTTTCCTGCTTCAGACGTGCATCCAGAGTGCCACACTCCAGCCACACAATGGGCAGAATGGCAGGATCCTGATCACCCTGAGGATTGATGGTCCCCTTTCCTCCCACGGAGCTGACACTTAGCCGTGGCATCATTTGCCTTGGGAACAAAAATGTGAACAGTCTGAATCATTCCTCCTAATTCCATTATTACCCTGGCAGCTCTACTGTCACCTGCTAAGACCCAAGAGGGTCACGTTCACAGTTCCTTCTCAGCCTCTGATGACACATCTCCAAAACCAAAAGTTAAAGGGACACATCTTGATAAAGCTGGTAGTGCTGAAAAAGCCCACAAAGAAGATGAGTATGATGGTATACTCTCATAATCGCAGCAATGAAGACAGGAGGCAGGAGGACCAGGAGTTCAATGTCATTCTTAGACACACAGCAATCTGGGGTCAGCCCAAGCTAACTGAGACTGTCTCATTAAAAACAAAACAGAAGCTGGGCAGTGGTGGCACATGCCTTTAATCCCAGCACTCAGGAGGCAGACGCAAGCAGATCTCTGAGTTCGTGGTCAGCTTAGGCTACAGAGTGAGTTCTAAGTCAGCCAGGGCAACACAGTGAAACCCTGTCTGAAGAAAAAGAAAGAAAGAGAGAGAGACTGAGTAACTTGCGAACATAAAGCTCAATTTACCATGACACAAACAACACTTGTAGCTTCGTTGGGTGACAGGTACAAGACAGATATCATACTAGAATCCTCAGTGAATCCTTACAATGACCTATGGATAGGTATTGATATTATCCTATGAATAATCCTCATCTTATGGATGCAGAAACTGAGACTTGTTGAGGGTAGAGAGATGCTCAGTGGTTAAGAGCACTCACTGTTCTTCCAGAGGCCCTGAGTTCAGATCCCAGCACTCAGGTCCAGTGACTCACAAAACGATCTGTTACTCCAGCTCCAGGAGATCCAATACCCTCTTCTGCTTCCATGAGCATCTACATGAACATGTGTAGTGTGCACGGGCTCTCTCTCTCTCACACACACACACACACACACACACACACACACACACAAAATACATATATACATAAAATTGTTTAAAAAAAAAAAAGGAAGAAGAAAAATAAGAATCCAAGACTTGAACTGGTCAAGAGTTAGGGCTAGAACCCTCTGGTTTTAGGAGAGGAACTGAGAAGCACAAGGTGGTTCCTGATGCATGCAACACTGAGCTTTTAACCCCAGAATGCACTCAGGAAGCAGAGGCAGGTAACTCAAGGTAGAAATGTCCACGCCTTAGTCCTAGATGAAACTATATTCACTGGTTCTGAGCATGAAGACAGTTATAAAGACTGGTCTGGTAGTCAGGCATAGTGGCACATGCCTGTAATCCCAGCATTCCAGACGTAGGATGGTTTCAAATTCAAGGTGAGCCTTCACTACACAGAGACCCTGTCTCCAAACAAACAACAAACTCAGCAATACCTCTCTGGGAAGGGCTAGGCATGTGGCTGGTTTGATAACAAGTACCATGAAAGAAAAGGCAAGACTCTTGTTGGAAATGGCCTGGGAGGACCAGAGAACATAGGGATTTTCCCAGGCTCACACGGTCAGTAAGGGATTCATTGAAATTCCCGGTCAGAACTCTCATTTAATTGGCATGGAGTAAAGCTTACACAGAAGGAGTCCAATATGCTGACTTTGTATCTCATTTAATTTATCTTCTGAGAAGGAAATGGGAGACACAACAATGTCCTTCATAGTAGAGAAGAGACAGTGGGAGGCTAGGAAATAATCTGCCATGGTCCACATGCCAGTTGGTGCCCTCAGGTGTCCAGTCATCCAGCTCTCCATGAACTCTTCCCACCTCGGGGAGGCTATTATAAAAGTGAATGAAATCACCTTGGAGACAGCTCCCGGTTACAGTTAAGGAGCTAATTTGGTTTTTGTTTTCTTTTTTCTTTTCTTTTTTTTTTTTTTTTGAGATAGATCTCGTGTGGTTCAGAATAGCTTTGAATTCTCTATGCAGTAGAGGTGACCTTGAACTTCTGATCCTTTTGCCTCCACCTCTCAAATGCTGGAATTACAAGTGCACCGGTTTTACTCAGAGCTTGGGGACCGAAGTCAGGGTTTCAAGATTAGCAGATACCTGTGCCCACTTGCCCACATCCCCAGCCCTTTTGTTTTGTTTTGTTTGTTTGTTTGAGACAGAGTCTCTCTACAGGGCCCTTCCTGTTCTTGAACTCACTCTGTAGGCCAGGCTGGCCCAAACTCAGAGATCCATTTGGCTCTGGCTCCCAAGTGCTCAGATTAGGATGTGCATCACCACAACTGGCTTGTTTTGTTTTAAAAACGGTTAAATTTAGCACGGCAGTAGTGTCCCAGCACCAGGAATGCAGTGGCAGGCAGATATCTTGAGTTCAAGGCCAGCCAGAGCTGCACAGAGAAACCCTGTCTCAAACAAAACAACAAGCTAAATACCCAGGTTGGCCTTGGGTTCATTATCTTCCTGCTTCAGCCTCCTGAGTACTGAAACTGCAAGCATATAGCGCCAATTTGGTGGTTGCTTATATTTATTTACATCCCCAGCCTCTCTAATTTGATTAATTAATTAATTAATTAATTAATGAGTGACATTTCCACTGATGGGATTGCTCCAAATGTTTCTATCCAGGTAGGGCCTCTTTGCAATCTCTGATCACCAAAATTTCCCTACCTCATCTTCAAACTCCTCTTCCACAGCAAACAGCTTCTGAAAACTACACGTCTGAAAAGGAAAACAAAGCAATTGAGGCTGGAGGAGAAACGCTGCAGGAACATTCTGTATTCATTATCTTTTCCCCCAGCTCTAACAAGACTATAAAGTGTACTGTTTTTTGTTTGGCTAGTACTGGAGGAGGAAAGAGAGAAGAAATTCAATTTAGGTAAAGACTCAGAAATACTTCTGTGGAAAAAAAACAAACATTTATCTGAATTACTGCTAGAAGGGGGGGGTGGGAAAAGAGAGAGAAATGCCAAGAGAAGCAAAGGCATATCTTCAGGGTCAGCACTGTGCACAAACAATTGAGGCTTTTCTGTGGTTGAGACTGAGGGTCTCAAGTAGCCCAAGCTGGCTTTAAACCCACTATGTGTTGAAGATAATTTTCAACTCTTACATACATACATACATACATACATACATATTGGGGGCAGGCATCACTGTGTGGGTATAGAGGTCAGAAGGCAATTTGAGGGAGTGGGTTCCTCCCTCCCTGTGGATCTAGGGATGGAACTCAGGCCATCAGAGGCGATCACCTTTACCTGCTTAGCCTTCTCTCCAGGCCCTGACCTTGAACTTGAGCCTCTTTTCCTAAGGGATGGGATTACATGCCAGTACCATCTCTGGAAGGCAGGCCTGAGGAACAACATCCCAAAGGTTTGTCCAACACTAGAAACTACCATAAATTCTGGCATGGAACCCTTGTTTCTGAGAATCAAGCCAGTGTTTTCTACAGAAGTCCAAAGCCCCAAAGCTAAGTTCCCAAGAGGGTGAATGCCAAGCCCCAGTCTATATTTTCTTCTTTCTGGCCAATAGGTTCAGAGGAGTGTCAATTCCGCAGCCTGGGGAGGAGGTGGGGGGAGATGTCCAAGGGTCGTGGGGGTGGGGTGATTCCAAAAGGCGGTGACGTCTGGGGACACAGGGATTGATGGCTATTTCCAAAGAGGGAAGGGAAGTAAAGCGAAGGGAAGGAAGGAGGTGCGTGCGCGAGTCCGTAGGTCTGTCTGCTGGGGGAGGGTCCTTTCACAGGTCTCCTGCGCGAGCGTGCTCTCCCTGACTAGAAGAAGCCAGCTCTGCAGACTACACCCAGTCCCCATCCTAGCAGGCAGACGACGAGCACCAAGCTTCCCTGCAGCTGGGACCCGCACCCCCACCCCGAGGCGGCGCAGGCGCGGCTTTACCATAACGACGGCCCGGCTCGGGCGGGTGGACTGGCCCGGCCGTCCCAGACTCAAGGGGTTCACCTCCAACTCGACCCAGATGTAAGTGGGGCACTGTGGCCGATCGTACACCCGAAGCAGGGTCTGAGAGAAGCGTCTTTAAGACCACGGCGAAAGCTGAAAGAAGATAGCCAAGAGACTAAGGGTGAGCGTCCAGGGCGGCATTCGAAGCCGCCGCCATAACAGTGGCTCCGCCCTCTTAAAGGGGAGGCCTCATATTTTATCCTGCCGACACGAAGGCCTTCTCCCTCTGGCCTTCCGCCTAGCCTTAAAGGGAAAATTATGGGCTCTCGGCCGCCCCCAAGCGGTCTCTCGAGCCTAGTCCGCTGCGGCGTTAAAGTGAGTATGAGGTTGGCAAAACCCTGGACAACCAATCTTATTCCCTACTTTTTTTTAATGCTGAACACACCAGTGATTTGAGAGTGACTTCATCCTCACCAGAACCCAGCCGACCGTGTAGTCCAGGAGGTCAAACTCACTTTGTAGCTAAAAATAACCTTAATTCCTGGTTGCCCTTCCTCTACCTCTCAATAGTTGGTGATTATAGGCACGGCTGGTTTTCCATGGCACTAGGAATGGAACACAGGGCCTCACACATGGTAGGTCACAGTCCCAGCACCGATGGAACATTTTAGGAAGGGCTAGCGAGTTACAGTGAGGAAGCTGCGTGTGATTTTAGAGTTGGCAAGGATCCTTCCTGTCTCCCCTCCAAAGCACTTCCGAGTCCAGTGTGTCCATTTTCTTAACATTGCCATCTCAACTAACAGAAAAAATCAGGGTCTTCACAGTAAACAGGCTACATCATCTTCCTTCTTTTAGAAAATGGACATTAGTTGGGCATGGAGGTGTATGCATGTAATCCCAGCACTCAGGAAGTTGAGTGAGAAGTGAGTGTTCTAGGCTAGCCTTAGCTGTCAGACCTTATCAAAGAAGGAAGTGAAGGAGGGAGGGAAGAGAGAGAAATAAGAAGTATGCTAAACTCTTTTTTGTTGTCTTTGTTTTGTTTCTCAGGACAGGGTTTCTCTGTGTAGTGTTCAATATCCTGGAACTAGCTCTGTAGACCAGGCTGGCCTTGAACTCACAGAGATCCGCCTGCCTCTGCTTCCTGAGAGCTGGGATCAAAGGTGTGTGCACCACCACACCCAATGCATGTTAAATTCTTTAATAACTGGGTTTTAGAACAGTGGAAGCTCAGACCAAAAAGGAATTAGTAACTTTATAAATGGAAAAAGTGGATGCTGGGGCTTCGGCTGGAAGACCCAAACCAGAGATGGAGTAGGATGAAGAGTTGAGTGTAGTGGGAAGGGTCTGAGCACTGTTGTAATTTCCAAAAGGAGTGTATGAGAGAGAAAGAAACCATTCAACAGAGCTTGGGGGAAAGTGGATGGGGAAGGGAGAGATGGGAGGCCAACCTTTGGGAACAGAAGAAAAGAGGGAGGCAGAGACAGAGAGTGAGGGGAGGAGACCGAGAGACAGGCAGAGAAGGAGAGAGAGAGGGAGGGAGGGAAGGAGGGAGAGGGAGGGAGAGAGTGGGAAGGGGAGGGAAGGAGGGAGAGGGAGGGAGACAGTGGGAAGGGGAGGGAGAGAGGAAGGGAGAGGGAGAGAGAGAGAGAGAATGGGAGGTGGGCAGGGCCCTTTTAAAAGGGAATGTGGTGAATGTGCACAGTGGCTGCAGCTGAGGGTGTATCCTGTCAGAACCCCAAGGGCTGGCCAGTATAGATGCCTGAGTAGTGACAAGCACTCTGATTTAACCTGTATTGATAACAGCCAAAATCCCTGGAGGACTATGTATGTTCCAGTTGGTTTTAGGGACAAGTGGCCAAGCTCACATAGCTAAGAGGAGTTGAGAGACTATGACCCAGGTAGTCATACTTCAGCATGTACAACTTAACTGCTATGTCATTTTGCTTCTTAGAATTCCAGGGAACTGAGTTTTTCAATCCAAGACTCCAGGGAAGACAAATGCTCTATAATTATGTGCAAAACATCATGTGCTTGCGCACATAATCCTTGTTCCAAGGAAGAATCCTCTCTTTAGTCATATTTCTGTGGGTCAGGAGGCTATTATGCTCTGAGGAACAGGACACACCCTTTCTCCCCAACCTCCTCCTTTGGTCTTCTCTGGATGCCTCATATGCTTAAGCCAGGCCTTACCTTACAGTTCCTGAGAGGCTTATTGCGGTAACTCCAGAGCAGTCCCCCTAGTTTCCAAGTTTTTTTTTTTTTTTTTTTTTTTTTTTTTTGTCTACATTTATCTGCAGTGTATGAATGGATGAAACCCAGGCCCTTGCTCATGCTAGTACAATCTTCTACCATTGAGCTACACTTGCAGCGCTCAGGCTTCTCTTTAGCACACAGAGGACACCCAGATTTTTCTGCTGTAGAAATTCTTTAGGTCTGGGCATATAGCTCAGTGTTGAGCATTTGCTTAGCAGGTACAAGACCCAAAATTATTAATCCCTCCCCATTCACCAGAGGATGGCACATAAAGTTCTCAAGGTCTCATGCTCTGGAACCTGCTTCCTATCTTTTCCGTCCCTACCAATCAGCACCCACACTGCTGGATCACACTCATTTGTCAATGATCTCATTGCTGCCCTCCTCCAAGAAGCCCCCTCCCCCATCCTCACCCCCTCATGAGACAAGGTTTCCCTGTGTAGCCCTGACTGTCTTGGAACTTGTTCTGTAGACCAGGCTTGGCCTACCTCTGCAACCTGGGTGCTGGAACTAAATGTGTGCGACACCATCTCCCAGCTTCAAAGCCTTTTGTTCTTTTTTCCTTCAAGACAAGGTTTGTCTCTGTTAACAGCCTTAGCTGTCCTGGAACTCATTTTATAGACCAGGCTGGTCTCGAACTCACAGAGATCTGCCTGCCTCTGCCTTTAGAGTGCCAGGATTAAAGGCATGGAAGTCACTTTTAGTTGCCTGGAGAGACCCATGTTTTCTTGTCCTCAGTTCAGACCTCTTCCTCTGTGTCTTATATTCTCTGTGGCGTCTCCTCCACTCTTTGGTGGACTGACCATGTGCTTCTTTTGGTTAGGTCTTGTTGCTTTCTTTTGGCAGGCAATGGGGGGAGTTGAAACAGGGTGCCAAGATCTGGCCTAGGCTGGCCTTGCAGCAATCCACCTTCCTCAGCCTCTCTGAGGGCTGGGATTATGTGTGTGCCACCATGCCTGGCTTTTGCAGCTTGTTCACCTTTTATGAATGAGTATTTAGTATGTGGAAGACACTGTACACACATTTGTTGAATGATGTAATGCCTTTGCCAGAAAAAAGAGTGGACAAGTTGGGTAAGTCCAGGCCCACTTCTATGAATAGCTGCCATTGGCTGTGAAGGAGTTTTATTTAAGTACAAAGGGAACACACACACACACACACACACACACACAGTAGGGAGTGGGGTTTAAAGACAGCTTGCAGCATTTGCTATGGAGTTAGAAGAATACATCTGAGCCTCCTGCTAATTGGCATGTAATCTCGAGTACGTTACTTCACCTCTTAGAACCTTTGTGGCTTCACCCATAAAAACAGAATTCTGCATCTTTGCAGGGTTTCTGTGACATTAAATGAATTGCATTGAAGCAGCTAACTTCATGCCTAGCCTGGTTGCAAGGCCTCGGCAAATATGGAATCCCTTCCCCCCTACTTGCATTTGCAAACTTGTGTGGGGAATTGTTATGGGAACCACATGGTTTGGGTTTGTATCTATTTCAGCATGTTTTTATCATATGAACAGTCGTGTGTGAACCAGTTTGATGCATGTCTTTATATGCCTTGGTATGGACAGTGGCAGACTGGAGAGGCAGTTTGTACATACAGAGTTTTGTGTTGTGTTGGTGGGTGTTGCATGTTAAGTGTGTGTAAGTTGCATGTTAAGGAATTCAATGTGTGCTGTGGGCCACATGTGGGAACCAGGGGAAGGGCTGCTCTGTTTGTGTGGCTGTGTGAGAAGATGGTGGATTCAGTTAGTGTGCTTTCCATATATATATATATATATATATATATATATATATATATATATATATATATAAACCAGCTGTGCAATAAATCTTCTGATGCCCATGGAAATGTACTCTGTATAAACCCATCGTCCATTGGAGTTGCCAATAGCCCCTCATGTGGCTAGTGTCACTAAGAAACTAAAGACGTAATGGAAATAGCCACAGGGATATTAGTAGACAGAAATGTCAGACTTGATCCCCAATGCACCAGGTGATGCAGATGTCTTCCTATCATCACGATGGAGTCCTGACCCTAGCATGTAAGAGCCCTGCCAGAGCCCCACCTGCGTGCATATGCGTGTGAGCGCGTGAGCGCGCGTGTGTAAGACGTACAGAGAGGGCTGCAGCCCCCCCCCTCTTCAAGTCCCCAGCGAAGCAGTGAATCAGCCTGACAATGCGGTGAGTCATTCATGAACCGCTTGCAGCCGGCCCAGCAGGCGGGAAGCGAACGTCAGCCAGCCTCGAAGCGCTACCCCCACTCTGGGATGGGATCACTCAGCCCCACGCACTGCAGATGTTGGGAAGAAATTGACGCGGGCCAATCGAGGCACTGGAGCGCCTCTCCTCCGCCCCTCCCTTTGACTTGCAATCCATTCATCCCCTAGCCCCTCTTTCCCTCTCCCTCCGGGTGGCATGTGAGTCATCACAAGATCTCTTTTCGAGGACAGACGTATCTAGCTCAATCCTCTGAGCCCCATCCAACACCCACCTCCCCAATCTGAATTCAGTGGGTCCTCTAAGGCGGGGGCAGGAAGGGAAACTGGATGCTTGGGGTGGCAAGGTTCCCTTTGGCCTTGAAGCCAACGGGGCTCAGGGTGGATTGCAGCTGGCTGGTCCCAGGGACTGGCATCTAGCTTGTTTAGGAAGATCATCTAGGCAAAGACTGCCGGAAGGAAGCAGGTGCTTGAAGGATGCTTCCTGGAGCATCTGTGGCTGGTAGGGTGTAGGGCATAGGAACAGAACTAGCTATGCTCTTCTGTTTCCTTCGGAAGCCCCATATAGCGTCTCCTTATTGTCTGCCTGATCATCTTCAGGACCTAGTGGCATCTCTCCTTTGCACATTCCCTTCCCTGCATCTTTCAGTCTTTCCTCTTGGACTGGACATTACTATCCGAGGTCT